GTTGACACTGGTTTTCGGCTTACTTAGTCTTGAGTTCACTGTTTGTTTTGCTTGTACCCTTTCTATATAACTCTGTTATTTCTTTGACTGGCCTTGTGGCCATTGTTGCTTGTGCTCAGAGTGTGTGGTGACGTTGTGATCCACCCTGAGCTTTGTTTCTTTGTGACTGGTCTTATGACCGTACTCTTTTGGTTTTGCTAGACACCCCTCACTTAGGCTATGGGGGTGTGTCAAATGTTGGTAGCCTGTAGTGAGGTTTGTCTTAGGGGGTACGTATGTTAGGGTTTGCTACTTGTACCCCAACCACCATCAATGAACCAACACTTCCGATTCTGACACACCTCGCGTCTGGCGTAGCTCGGCGTTTTCCTCTCACAGCGTTGTCACTTCCGCCATTAGTGTCTTCATGCTCTCCTACATTTCTGCCACTTGCGCCATCATCCGGTTAACAGCCTCCTGATCCATGTGCCTAGCACTACGTCTGGTGGGCAGTCGGTTACCTGTGGCCTCCCGGTAAGTGAAAACACGAACTATCGGAGTCGGGCAGGATTGAATTAACAATCCCTGCAGCCAACCGTCGTGTAGTCACTAAACCAACCACACCCGTGCCACCAAACTACCCTCGAAAAGCGGGGTGAACTAGGAAAGTAGCTCTGATACCAGGTGTTATGAGTTGTAAAAGGAGTGCGCAGGTAAACGAATAACGAGGCTGTGACTGAATGAACTGAGAATACAATGAATGCACAGACTAATGTAGGGCTAGCCTAGCTAGGAGGAAACCTCGGGCGAGCGAGGTTGGGTGCAGGTTTGGCGATGGAAATGCCGAAGGCGACGCGAGGAGCCTCGGCAGCGTTGAAATCGGCCGAACGTGCGAACTCCGAAAATCGGGTTGTACGCGCAGTAGTCAACCCCGATAAGGAATTCGAGAAAATTCCTTACAGGCAGTGCCTTTCTGGTACACCAACCAACACAGTTCGCTAGAATGTGTATTATGATAGAGTATGTTATCAGTATGTTATCTACAATGGGTCGTTTGACGAATTATTTCCTTTACAAGCAAAACAGTTCAACACTATACAGATCAGTTGAGTGAGACGCGAGGTGGCGGGGAGGGGACGGCGCTTTGAATTGCGAGCACGGCGCCCGCCCGAGGGTCATTCATTGGGGCACGTGAGCCTTAGTTACCACGTGCGTATTTAGCTACGCCTACAGTATGAGGCGAATTCTGTCTTCATTGGGGCAAACCTCTCGTTCAAGTCGTGAAACCAGCTCTCTCGGACTCCCACCCGCCTGTGAGTGCAACGAACGATCATTCGCGAAACGCAATTGGACCTCGCGACGCGCTTGTTCACATCGCATCAGGTCAGGGTGATGTCGGTGCGTGGCCCGTGCAGCATTGGTGCCCCTCCACACTGGTGCCCCCACCACAACACCCCGCACCTTCCACCAACCTTCCACACAGCTCGCTGACATCGTCGTTCGTGCGTACGAACTCTCACGAGCGGCCACTCGTGTGTAACGCACTGTTACTCGTGCCCCCCCTCGCCAAAGATTTCGCCACTTCCTTCTCTTCTTCCTCCTGCTGCTCTTTCTGCGTTCGTCTTGCTCCTCCACTAATTATGACATTTTCTTGTTCCTCAGGCCACATGAGGCCTTTCTTTGGTCCCAAGTGATGTACTGTATCCCGGGCTTTACGGGACTGTACATCAACAGGTGGCCTCGCCAACGGACGAGCGCGTCTCACCCTTCCGTCTTGGGGTGCGGTGTGGGATGCGGCACCATGGCTCTCTGTCCTTTCCATCCTACCGTTGAGCGTGCACCGTATCTCGAGGCTTCATTCTGCCCAAATAGCTTCCCATGTCGTTGGCTCGTTCGATTGCCTTTCTTTGCAGTCACGGGAAAAGCGAAACTTGGATATTGCCAGCAACATAAATATCTGCGTCCAGATTAACTCGCGTGATGTCAGCATCATCATGAGCGCATTCCGCCCGCCTCACGCCGCGCCTCTGGCATCTCAGATCACGCCAGACCCCTCCTTGTACGGATTCCCGTTCCTCAGGCTCCACTGGGGAGACTGAGGGACGGAGGGGTCGTCAACCATGTTGAGCAGACCGTTGACATCCGTCGGAGGGATGTCGGGGCATTGTCGTTCGTCGGATTTCGAAATCGGACGGCTGAGCTGTGAGGGGGAGAGACTGGACCCCCTCATCTGGGTTCGGGCTGGAGGCATCTGTCGGGAATGGAATGCCGCTCCGCGCGGCCCGTAAACTACAATGGCTTACGACAGTGGAGCATCATGCTCATAAAACGTCTTTGATACTTTGGTCATGCGTGGCGCATGTGCGTGCACTATTGAGATACATTCTCAAGATACTCGTCAAGTTTCGCAGAGCTCCAACGATCAACGCGAGATACTTGTACTTCTGCTCGTTCCGTCTGGTCAGTGTCTCCTCCTCAGCAGCCCACAGCGCCTCGCGCCAGCCATAGTGTCTCCATCCATCGTCGGCCAGCTTTCTCCATCCGTCGACGGCCAACAACACCACCACGCCATGATTCGTAAATTCCAACTCACCTGTTCTAGCAGTGCTGCACAGAGCAAGCACAGCTTCAGCGGTACACTGTGACAGTACTGTACTGCACTTTAAGAGCCCACCATTGGCATCGGGTTGAGATTGAAAAGTGTCATGCGCAAATAGCGGCATTCTTATCTTCAAGGAACGACACGACAGATAGACAGCCTCGGGACGATTTTCCCGGACCTCAATCCAACTCAGCGTTGCGAACGCTCAGCATTACTGCAGAATCGCCTTGCTCTCACGCGGTGCTTCCGGTTTCCCCGCAGTGTCTCTTCGCGCGTTCCTCTTCGCGCAGCAGCTTGCGCGCTATTGTAAGCACAGCGCAGTTCGAGTCGACTCAAAACACGACTTCAGTCCCCCCAACTTGCGCGCTACCGTTGCAAGCACAGCGCATCGCAGCGCGGCAGCAGCAGCATCTCGCTGGCGTTCCACTCGAATAAGTCAGATTGATATATTCAGCGGCAGCATAAGCATTCATTACAACCAGTTATCGTAGAGTTATCGTGCCAGTCGGCCCAGCTGTAAGAGTCGCTGCTGAGAATTTCTCTGGAGGGTGGGCGCTTAGTATAGCGCCGCTCGCAACGTTAAAGTTAAGGTCAGAACCACCAAGGCCAACCTGAAGGGCCGAAGCAACATTCTCCTCCAATGATGGTCATTCCCCTTGGTTCGCGCGTCTCGACTCAACCAACCACACCGTTTGTCAGCGAGCTCCTTTTTACCGATTCTGCTTCGTCATCTCACCTCCTTTCTTCGTCACCTCACCTCCTTTCCACCTACGGCGTTTCATCAGAACCAGCAGCGCCGCGCAGTCGTCTCCTCCCATCATCTCAGCCCTCCTCCGCTCACGAGCGAAGCTTCCCGTGCTCGCGGCGAGCCGCATTTCCGCACATGGCGGACGTTTCCCCGCGCCGCGCCGACAGTCGCCCTGCCGCGGCCAATGCGACGGCGACGGCCACGGCGACTCCAACAGCGTCGACGTGGGACTTCCTCACGGTGCACACGCAGCGCGCATTGAAACGGCGACACAGCGAGCATGACGAGCATGACGAGCGCGACGAGCGCGACGAGCGGGACGAGCGGGAGTGGCGGCGCAGCGGCAGTGACGGCGATGATCCGAGTCGCCTCATGTCGCTCATGCTCGCCAACTCCTCCTCCTCCGCCCACCCCGCCGCGCGCCCCAGCCCATCCGCGCACCCCGCCGCGCGCCCCTGCCCCTCCGCCCACCCCACCGCGCGCTCCTGCTCCAACGGCGCCACTCCCGCACCCCCCACCGCCGCCGCCTGCGCCAGCCGCACCCAGCGGCCCTTCCCCAGTCCCGCGGGACCAGGCACTCCCCCGTCAGCCAGTCTGTTGGTGTTACCGCAGACCGCCAAATCTGCCGCATTTGCCAGCCTGGGAAGTCACGGACACGGTTTTCCCTCCATCTCTGCTGCTTCTGCCTCTGCTTCTCACGGCCTCACAGTCAGTGCAAGACACGCCGCGAATCAGTCGACCGTGGCGCCGTTTCCGCCGCCGCCGCCGCCGCCTGCGCATGCGCTCCTCTCTCTCCGCCAGGCGTCCATCCCCTGCGGCGCGCTGCTGCCTCTGCCCGAGCTGCTCCTGCCCGGCCTGCCACGTGGCGGCCCAGGGATTGGCTCCCTGCCAGAAGCTCTTTTCCGCCGCTTGACTGGGTTGACTGGCTTCACTGGCTTAACTGGGTTGACCGGGTTGACTGGCTTGACCGGCTTTACTGGGTTGACCGGGTTGACTCGCGCTACAGGCGGAGCTGGCGGCAGCGGAAGCAGCGGTTTCTCGTGCGCCCTGTGCGGGCGCACATTCCCCACAGTGCACGCGCTAGGGGGTCACAAGACCATGCACCGCAAGACCATGCAGCGGAAAAGCTTGCACCGTGCACACACCAATGCTACCAGCAGCAGGAATGGCGGCAGTGGCAGAAGGAAGGGCAGCAGCGGCGGCAGGGATGGTGGCAGCAGCAACATGAGCAAGAACAAGGGCAGCAGCAGCAGCACCAGTGGTGGTGGCCTTCCCAGTGGCGAAGCGAGACCTGTGCCGATGTCGCCTGCGCGCTGCCATAAGAAGTGCAAGGTCGCTGCTGACGATGATGTTGCGCCTTCCAATGCTACTGCTGCAGACGCTGCTGCTGATGTTGCTGCTGCTGCTGCTGCTGCTGCTGCTGCTGCTGGTGCTGCTGCTGCTGCTGCTGCTGCTGCTGCTGCTGCTGCTGCTGCTGCTGCTGCTGCTGCTGCTGCTGCTGCTGATCAGCCCTCTCATTCCTCGCCACGAGCCCTCGCTTCTCACCAGAAGCCCTCGGCGCGCCGTTCAGCAGAATGCAGCACACCAGCCGAAGACTCTCCTCCCACCCCCCCTGTCACGCCCACCAACGAGGAAGCCGCGCCAGCCCCGTGGCCAAAGGCAGGGCCCTCAATGGGGGCTGTTGGAAAGGGCCTTCAGGCTCAGGAGACTCCTACTGCTGCGGTGCTGCGTGGGGGCCGAGCGGTGGAGAGCGGTGGAGAGATGCCCAGTCCCGCAGGGGAACGAGGGGAAGATGTGGATGAGCAGGCGGTGAGGGAGAGGGGAGGAGCGTGTGAGGGACAGGTGCGGGCGCGGCTGAAGCAAGCCATCAAGGAGCGACTGCTGCAAGCACGCCTGCTACCAACGCGCTTGTCACAGTCACACGAGCTGCAGGCATGTCAGGCGATGCACTCGCGTGGGAGAGGCGGGCAAACCTCATGTTCGGCCGCCGGCATTGCTCCATGCTCGCCCCCCTCGCTCGTTCTTGAGATGACTCAGCATGCACCCGCTTCATGCTCGCCTGCTGGCACTGCAGCATGCTCACCCACAGCGTTGTCCAGCACTAGTGGTGCAGCAGCCGGGCCTGTGTGTGCGGCTGACTTGAACCTGCCGCCCGCTGACGTGGCAGAAGGCATGGAATGCGAGGCAGTGGTGATGGACAACGAGGATACGGATCTTGCACTGGCTGCCAGGGAGATTGAGTGCGAAGGTCGAGGGCTGCCTGATCAGGTTGAGGGTCGAGGGCTGCCAGATGGATGCATGGCCGAGGCTGAGAATTCTTCCCATATTCCTCCGGATCAGGGTCATGCTGAACAGGGAGGCTGGTCTCTTGGTGGTCATTTTTCCGGCATGGCATGCCATGCTGGTCCAGATGCCACTGGTGGTGCCCCTGGGAATATCCGAGCTGCGGTGTTTCTGTTCGCTTGCAACCTGGACGGTGAGAAGGATTCTGGTGCAGATAAGCTTAACGGTGGGGATGGTCGGTTTGGGTGCTTGGACTTAAGCTTGCACCTATAAACAATGGGTCCAGCATCAATTGAGTGGGCACCAGGCCTGGCACGTCTGAGTTGTGGCTCAGAGCTCATGTGCATTGTAGGGTGGATCATTCCTAATCAAGCTTGGGGCTCCCAAATTGGGATGCTAGGTCATAGGAATGGTTTGAGCAGGGACTTGCCTAGCCTACGCCGTCTAAATATTAGATAACATTTTCCTTCTAATTTCGTTTGTCTGAGCATTAGGCGAATGTTGGGTGTGGAGAATATCGCGTCAGCAGGGAAAGGTGGGGGTAGGTGACTGTTCAATGGAGATTATTGCTGACGACCCGACGGTCCAAAACAAACCAGAGACACGAATACAGGTGTGGTAGGTGCGAACACTGCCGCGCCCGTTCGCAGATTCCCCACGAACTGAAGGAGCATGTTGGGCGGGTCTAGTTCATTCGTCGTGGCGTACGATTCCAGACGGTGCACAGCGGTTACCTGGTTTTACCGTGTTCCTGCAAGTACATAATATTCCAGATTGGCATACATCGCAGCCCAGGGCTCAAGGACCTACAGCAGATCAATACACTGGTAAAAACGATACGGATGCAGACATGCAACCCATCAGGTTTTGGGGAAAAAAGAAATTTACGAGCTAAAACCGGCATGTGGCCAACCTCAGCCACACATGCCAGCTTCAGAAGGCACCTGGTCTTGAGGAGCCTCAAAATCACTTGATCTAAATCTGTACCTGTTTGTGTGAGTAACGCATGGCACCTTGTTGTAGAATACACGGGTCACAGTAGTCACCTTAGGGCTCTGAGTCAAGAGCACGTACGGCTCCGGTTTTATAGCATGTAGTGAGCCAATGAGATGACCATGACGCTGGTGTCGTCGTGGCTGCCTCGCTTCCCAGCAGCCTCCACCAGTTTTTGACACGCCAGCAGCAGTGCAGACTTCACCGACTCTTCGGTCCCTTGCGCCTTCCCTCGCGAACCAGCACCTCCCTCTCCGCCCTCCTCTGACTCACTCCCCTCACCCTCCTCACTGCCCTCACTGACATCATTCCCAGAGTCTTCACTAAGGGACGACACATCGGAATCTTCAGTAGAAGTGCACCTTATGATATCCGTGCCATGGTTGTCCTCTTCTTGGGCTGACTCCGTCACCTGTTTTAGAGTTCCGACAGCACAAACGCTGCTGGAACGCTCTCGAGGTGTTTTTAGGACAAATGGGTTCAGCTTGGGGTTTGAATCGGCGTCCGGGGAAGGTGTTGTCAGGCCATCATCCGATGCGGGTTCTTTGCCGTCGGAGTTGAGAGTGAGAGACGAGGATTCGGTGGAGGCGGAGGAGAAAGAGGGAATGGTGGAGAGCGAGGAGGATGCACTTGTTTTGGCGGCAAGAGAGTTGTTGCGCTTGAACACTTTGATCTCGGCTTCCAGGCATGATCGGGCGATGTCGACAGATTCTTGATTGGTCACCTGAAAGTGGAAACCAGGAACAAAGAATAACAATGAAGGAATGCATGAGGATGCGCTTTAGATAATATGCGTGGTCCCTTCTTCTGAAGGCATATATTGACGCCATGACATATCAAGGAAAGTGAGTGTTGGGACCAAACGTATGTATGCAAGGACTTACCACGTCCCAGAGTCCATCTGATGCCATAATCAGAAAATCGCAGTCTCTTGTAACGGGTACATGAACCACCTCCGGTTCCGATGTAATGTACTCCTTATAGTTTGCATCGCCAAGGCCGCGCGTAACAGCCAGCACTCCCTGCACGCGCCATGTGCCCGTGAAATTATCCACGTGACCCCCCAGATTTTCGATTCTGTCCCGCTCGTCTTCTCGAGACGCTTTGTGGTCTGATGTAAGCACACTGGCCGCGCCCTTCCGGCACAGCACGGCGCGGCAGTCGCCTGCATGTGCCACGTGGAGGGAACCAGGGGCTGCCCAGCACGTCACCACAGCCGAGCCGCTTCCCAGATTCTGCGGAGACACATCGTGAAATGACACAAAACGGTTCAGTTTAAGATCAGTATTGATAGAAAGCCAAAAAAAACGCCGTGGATGAAGTGATAGAGAAAGGAAAGCGCGAGGCGCGGAGGAAGAGAGGATGCTTGACGAGGTTACCTGTTGGAGAAACTGTTTATCGGTCTCCTTGAATCCCTCCACCAAAGCCGCCTCCGGGCTCTCTGCGCCCTGTTGCGCCGCCTTGAGAACGTTCCCCGCGATGTTGCCCGCCGCGAAACGCGCCGCCATGGTGCCGCCATGGCCGTCGAACACGCCGAAGAAGGCCTGATGAGGAAAAAAACGATAAGCACGAGAGACGGGTGAGGTTGAGGGGTGGAAGTACACGCATGGCAGCAGGTGGCGAAAGGGGGAGTGAGGGCGATAGTGGGGAAGTGGAAGGGGGGAGAGGAGGAAGTGGGGGGGAGAAGGAGGCGGGGGAAAGGAAGAGGGTTCAGGGGGAGAAAGCTAAGAGAGAACTCTGCCAAAATACGACATGCACGGATCGGCGCGCAGTGCGCACTCACATTTCCGGGAGACGTGCCGAACTGCGGGATGGCTTGGTACGCGTCCTCCATAAACTCGCGCCGCCCTTTTTTGCACATCACGGCGTACGAGTGACCCACCGCAACAAGCTCGCTCGCCTCCTCCGCCTCCTGCGCGCGCGTGCTTCTCGGCGTGTTTCCCGGCGTGTTTCCCGGCGTAGTTGTCGGCGACGCGGTGAAAGAGTCCTTTGCGGGGATGTTGAGCATGGGCGGCCGTTTTCGCTTCAACCGCGGATTTTCGTCGCGCTTGCGTAACGGCGAGGCGACTTTTCGCGAAAAAAGAGGCGAGCTAGGGCCCGCCTCCGACGAGCACAGTCGCAGGCGACTGAACTCGCGCGACGTCGGGAGTCGCAACTTGGGGCTGATGATTTCGGGCTCGTCGCTCGTGCGACTAGCGCTGCTATTGTTGCGCGAAAGACAGGCGCTGCTGCCCTGGCTCGCTCGGTCGCACGATGAGTCGCGAGCGCAGGTGGCGATCGCAGAGTCGCTGGAACGAGTCGCCGACGACAATGCGACGTCGCTCGTGTCCGAGAAGAGGCTGCGCGAGCGCGGGCAGGGCCCGCGCGGGGTGTCACAGACGGCTTGGAAAGCGGGGAAGGACGGGGCGGATAGCTGGCTCAGAAGCACTGCGGATTTTCGCATCGCGTTTGTGCTGAGTGATCGGGTCGGCTTGGCCTCTGAATGGAGGTCGGAGCTCAAGGAGCGTCGCTTATGTTCCCTCATTGTGGGAAAATGTGCGTGGCAGGAGAGGTCGTGATAGGACGAAAGCCTGATGCAAGTACGTGAAGACTCTTTATTCGGTTCACAAGCGTTTTTTAATTACAGAGCTTGCGACATTTCCTGGAGAACTGAAGAGGAGGGCTATGCTATCAGCATGGAAACTGGTCACTACCGCGCAAATGGTCCTAGTACAAAAGTCGTGGGAAGTGGCGCTAAGGAAAACAGATATCGAGATATGTAATCGAGCTAAGGTCTATGGCTGCTGGACGCGGTGTAGTGGTGACGCGTACTAGTGAGTAGCCAATGGAAGGAAATTCTGTACTGAGGGTAACATTGAGCTGCTGCTGAAGGGAAAGAGACGCGTTGAGGGTCAGAAGGGAGAGTCACTCACACACAGTGCTTACACAAATGAGAGTGCTGCCCAAAGTTCCGCGGTTCGGCTCAGCCTGCCAATGGATCTCCTCCCCACGGATGACGCACATGCCATGGATCGCGCAGGAGAATGAAGAGCACACAACGCCACGACTCACGCCAACAACTTGTGAACTGCACCTTCGGATTTGAGTCATCTATTTGAGCTACCACAAAATACCCGTAAGTGCAGTTGCAATGGTCATTCCACCACCTCCCCCCACTCACCTCCTCCACTAACATCTTCGGGTTGCCTTTATTCCACCAGACTTCGTGACTTACGTCTCAGACCGGGCTGTTGGGAGGAATTTTCCCACTTTGAAAGGTGGTTCGACAGCTACAGGTACTTTACCCTATTGCAACGGATGCTTTGGGGGGACATCTTTCCCCCAGCAACAACCACCAATGGATCCAGGTTTCGCTGCTGCGAACATGCATGTTGGAACTTGGTTTGGCAGGCATGCGTCATCAACGGGTCGAAATAAACTCGGCAAGCGTCATTATCTTTCATAGCTCAGACCGTGCTACACAATCCATGCCCCGAAAGGTATACAGTATTGTGTACGAAAACCTTGATCAACAATGGCCCACAGATTCCGGAGCTCAGGCTGGGTGACCCTGCATTCTGAGTGGCGGAAGCCTCAGTTTGCACAGCCCTCCATCCGCTAAGACACGGGAGGCAGCAAATGCTGAATCTCAAACCGTTCAATCATTAATCGACGGTATGCATTTGCGCAAAAACATCCTACAAAATGACACTTCCTACCTACTCCAACAGTTACAGATTTTTGCGACAGCTGTTTTCAGGCTGTTCTAACAGACGTGAGGATGCGGTCAAAAAGTGATTTCATCAATGCGGTGCGGTTTTGCTTGCACAGTTGGGAACAGCAGAAGTCCTTTCATGGCCCAGCTTTTCCGGGGTAACTTCTCCAAAAAGACTAATACAATAGTATGCATATTGCAAGGAACTAGTAGTTTATTCACCGCTTGACAGTCCGTAGATACACAATGCTACTGTTATGAGTTGTCAAACAGAGTTGCTCAGAAAACGAACAACTGAGCTTGTGACTAAATGAACCGATCATACAACGAGAAGGCATGCGATTATATAGCGGGACAACCTAGCTAGGCGGGAACCTCGAGGTTGGGTGTAGGTTGGGCAACAGAAAGCCCAAGGCGACGCGAGGTTGTTTCGGCAGCAAGCAAAGTGGCCGAACGTGCACTTCCGAAAGTTGGGGTTGTACGCGGTTGAGTAAACCCCAGTAAGGAAAAAAGGGTTTTCCTTACAGCTACAGTTTGGTAAAGGAAATTACGAAGTCTGAAAGCGGCATTAAATTGTACCACGTGCTTATAGAGCTGCCGAGGTTATACCGTAATAACCCAGACATACCACCCGCCGAAATTCAACACTTCCCGGGTGGCTTGTGCGGGGTGGGTGCTATAGCGGACCTAATCTCTACTTGTCAAAGTGAGGAATGGATGATGCATTGATGTTGGTTGGGGTACATATAGCTAACCCTAAGTTTTGTACCCCCTAAGACAAACCTCACTATAGGCTACAACATTTGACACACCCCCATAGCCTAAGTGAGGGGTGTCTAGCAGAACCAAACGAGTACGGTCACAAGACCAGTCCAAGAAACGAAGCTCAGGGTGGATCACAACGTCACCACACAGTCTGAGCACAAACAACAGTGGCCACAAGGCCAGTCCAAGAAGTAACAGAGGTATATAGAAAGCAAAGTAAACAGTACACTCAAGTCTAAGCAACACGAGAACCAGTGTCAACAAGGCCTAACTGTACACAGCACCTCTGGTGGTCACAAGGCGGAAGCGCCTTGGTGAAGATGTCTGCAGTGTTGGCCTCGGACTCCACAAACTCAAAGCGAGCCTGTCCACGCCTCTGCAACTCTCGCAGAAGAAAGTACCTGACGTGAATGTGCTTCACTCTGCTCTCCAGTCGTGGCTCTCGACAAAGGAGAATAGACGCCTTGTTGTCAGTGAACAAGGTCGGTGCAGAGCTCGGCCGCTCACCAAGGTCGGTGAGCAAGAAGGTCAACCAACGCAGCTCCTGTGCCGCCATGGCACCAGCGTAGATCTCAGCCTCAGCTGTAGAGGTCGAGACCGAAGAGGAGCGCGTGGACCGCCAGGAAACAGCTCCAGAACCCAGGCTGAAACAGTACCCCTGAGTAGACCTGTGAGTCTCAGCGTCGTCAGCGTAAGAGGAGTCACAGTGACCAGTAAGTACGACAGACTGCTGCCCTCCAAGAACTAGCCCCACGCCTGACGTCGTCGCTAGGTACTTCGCCACCCTCACAGCTGCTGTCCAGTGAACAGGACGGTGTCTCCCTGGCGCAACAAAGCGCGCAAGAACGCTGAGAGGGAAGGCGAGGTCCGGGCGAGTACAAGTCATCAGGTACATGAGGCAACCCACAAGCTCTGCGTAGGGACCACTAGGCTCGAACGGCTCGTCAGGAAAGGGTCCAGTGAGTCTGTGGTCAACAGCAAGAGGTGTGCGCTGTACTGTGGAGTGCTGAAGCCCGAACCGCTGAAGGACCTGCTGCACCATGTGCGACTGTGAAAGTGTAATGGTGCGAGCAGCTCTGTCTCTGGTGATCTGCAGGCCAAGGTAGTGGCGCAGCTCACCAAGATCAGTGCAGGTGTGTCTCTTCTGCAGTTCGGACTTCACGTGTGCCAAAGCAACCCTGTCAGGGGTGGCGAAAACAAGGTCGTCAACGTAGACCAGAACAAAGAAAGGTGTGGGGCCACGACGAACGAACAGCGACGGGTCAGCAGAAGACGGCTGGAACCCAAGGTCAGACAGGGTAGAACGCAGGGTGTCGTGCCACTCACGAGGAGCCTGACGAAGACCGTAAACCGGTCGCCTCAGCCTCCACTGGGTCCTAGGAGGGAAAGAGCCAGTGAAGGCAGAGGGACGACGCAACCAGACCTCCTCGTGAAGACTGCCCTGAAGGAAAGCAGTAGAGAAGTCGAGAGAGTGTAACTCGTAGTCTCTCTGTGCTGCTACGTGTAGTAACACCCGAAGAGTGGTCATCTTCGGGGTGGGCGCGAAGGTCTGAAAGAAGTCAACTCCCTCGCGCTGACTGAAACCTCTAGCCACGTAGCGTGCCTTGAAGACCGGAGGAGATCCCGGTGGCCGCTTCACCCTGTAGATCCACATGCCGTCGACTACGTTCGCCCCCGGAGGGGGAACCTCATCGACGTAGGTGCCTGTGGATCTGTAGGAGGCCATCTCTGCGTCCATGGCAGCTCTCCACTGAGAGGCCCAAGGCCCTGACACTGCCTCAGCGTAAGTGCGAGGAGTCGGAATGTCAAGGGCGTCGGGGTCACCCTCAGGGGCGAGGAGCATGGCACAGAGATGAGGGGAAGCGGCGGCCAGGAACTCTAGCTCAAACTGCCTGTCCTCTAGGGCGTCACAGCCAAGGGCAGACACACCCCCGACGGCCAGAGGACTGGAAGGAGGAGCAGCCACAAGAGCGGTGGCGAAGTCAAGGCGGCGGGTAGAGGCAAAGTCAGTGACTGCGGCAGTAAGAGCGGACACAGAGGACACAGAGGCACGAGGGTGAGTAACAAGCGAGGCGAGAACACGAGAGAGAAGAGGACGGTACGTGCGGTAGTAGTCAGTGACAGGAGTAGGGAGCGACGCAGTGAGAGCCGACTCAGGAGGAGACGGAAGCACAGACGGAGACGGACGAGGTGGACTAGAACGAAGTAAGGCAGTACGAAGGTCAGTGAAGGGAACAGGAGACGAGGGACGAGCACGAGGGGAGCGACGAGAGGCCCAAGTCTGAGAAGGAGGAGGGGACAACGAAGACTGAGAACGAGGGAAAACAGCGGGAGAGGGGTCAGGAGGAGGAAGCGGAGGACCAGAGACAGGAGGAGAGGGGGAGGAGGAAGGAGAGGGAGAGGGGAGACCAAGGGTCCGAAGACCCGAGACAGGAGGAGGAGACGGCAGCTGCTGCTGCTGCGGCTGCTGCTGCTCCAGCGGCTGCTGCCCCTGCTGCTGTCGCTCCTGCTCCTCGAGCCGCTGCAACTCTCGCTCCTCTCTCTCCAACTCCAGCTGCTCCTCACGAGCACGGCGAACACGAGCCTGGAACCTGGTCGGGTAGGGGTGGGGGGAAGGAGTAGTGTCCGGGGCAGCGGCAGCCCCAGAGTCGACCTCCGAAGCACCAAGCACACCACCCCCAGAGGCAGCACCAACACCAGCTCCAGACCCAGGCTCTCCAGAAACCGAAGGAACACCCTCACCCCCAGACGCAGCACCCCCAGACTCCGCACCAGCACCCCCAGAACCAGAGACCTGTACAGGGACAGTCGCAGGACCAACCTCCCGAGAGGGAGCACCTGCAGGAGGCGGCGAGGAAGACTGTGGGGAGGCTACCGAAGGGGGAGGGCTAGCCTGAGACACACCAGACGGGGCTGGACCAGGGGGGGGAGGCTGTACCGGGGGAGCAGGCGGGGGAGCGGCTGTCAGGAAGAGGGGGGGAGGAGGAACCGGGAGACCTCGACTGGGGTACCTGACGTAGTACGGGGTGGACTCCTCGAAACGGACGTCACGGGAGTCAAAGAACCGGTGAGAGGGTGGGTGGTAAAAGGTGAAGTCAGAGGAGTCCTCAGGGAAACCAAGGAAGACACAAGGAACGGCGCGAGGCGAGAGCTTGTCCGCGGAGGTGTCGCGGACAAGAGCCAAGCACCCCCAGACACGAAACCTCGACGCGACACCAGGGGACCCTGTCCAAAGACTGGTCGGTGAAGCCTCCGGCCGAGAGACGCGTGGCCAGAGGTTCAGCTGGTGCGCGGCGTACCTGACTGCGTATGGCCACAGGAAATGGGGGGCTACAACATTTGACACTACTATACCCCCCTTTTGGGCTGATCCGGTAAGACCCAGGAAGGGAGGGGGAGGGGAGGGGGGGGGGGGGGGGGTATGTACGGAAAAATTTACTGTTTTCGCCTAAATTTTGCGCAAAGACGTGTGTGCACCAGCGAGACTACTGGGCCTGTTGCGGGACTCCCGCCTTTGTGACTGCATGAATCCTCGTCGAGCGACGGGGGCAGGTCTTCAGATTCGTTTTGGCCGACCCTTAGTAATCAGGGTCCTAGGTATAGTCAACCCTGATGCTCAGGGTAATTTTTTTGTTTCCCTGACAAATGCAGGGTAAAAAAATTGTAAGTCTGTTTGGTCAGGATAATCTACGTATATTAATAGTGCTAAAGCAGAAGGTACGGTAGTTGTTGGCTTAGTTTGTTCGATTACGAGATAGATTAGAAAGGTCGCCAGTTCGAGTCACATTATCGGGAGGACTTTGCTATAGTGTTTCGTCTCGCTACGGTCTATTCGGATCAGTGTAAGTGGGCTTGTACACTGTACAGTCATAGAAAAATGTTCGTTACGCTGTTTTTAAAAGGGTATTAAAAATCTTACACTTTCTGGCCTAGGGTAAAAAATCCACTACCCTGCCTGTGAAAGGGTAACTGAAAAAAAGCGGCCGCCAGTCAGTGCAAAAAGGGTATTTTACCCTGATAACGAGAGGCCTGGACGGGGGGTGTGTTTTCGACCAATCAGGGCATGACAGAGGGCCTGTTGGAGCTTGCAATGTGGCAGCTTCCACTCGAGGCTAACGTTATCGCCTCATCCTCGGTTTACACACCCAACCAACAATCTACCACTGCAGCAAGCATGTACATTTTGTTCCCAACCGTTTCTGCTAAAAAAGAAAATACGCTATATAAACACCCGGGTGTATGTAGTCTTTTCCCATGACAAGACCCCCCCCTTTTTTTTGCTGTAGTTATCATAGCACCCTAGGGTGGTATGTCCGGGTGATTATGGTAGGCACACCCCCAAATAACGTAATCTGTTTTTTGAACTGTTGCATGCATATTCTAAAAGGGAGAGGATAAACCCAGTGAGAGCTGGAATTCTTCTCAGTCATCCTTCTTAATTCTGGAGGCCCAATTATTGGGCTTACCGTACATATATCAGTGCCTAAACCCTACAAAACCACCAAAACTACATGACTAGCCTATTCATTAATGCCAGCCCAGTGTAACAATTGTGCCTAAGTAAGATTGATGTAGCCCAGTCAATACGGCTTGTAACCATCCAAGGAATGCTCGTTGCCGCTTCCTTCTCGATAGTATGATTTGTACCACTGCACAAACTTGGACAGCCCTGTTTCCAAGTCCGTTGTTGGCTGATAACTGGAAAAGAGGAACATAAAAGATGGAAGACAAGTTAGTAAGCATGGAGCAAGAACTGAAGACTAATGAAGCACAGATAGGGCAAGGAACTGAAGGCGTGCAAATGCCAACGGACCTGAATTCGCGGGCCGCACGTGTGATGTTGGCATGCGTGAACATGACATCTCCAGTGCTAGGCATGGGGATAACCCTGTCATCAAAAGGAGTAAGTAGCAAACATTAGCAGATATTGGCCAGAACCACGCATGGAACAGCTAACAGGAACCAAACTCCGAAGTGCCATGTTCACCCCAGTTATCTCCTTCGCTCACTGACGAGTCGCCTTCACTTGAAGTTGCTTCTCCAGAATTCCAAAAAAATCGCCCTTTTTCATTATTGAGGCACCTCAAACCCCCCCAAACCTCCCCCCTCCCAATCCTCACTCCCCCCTCCCGCACCCCCCTCCCCCCTTCACTCACTTGCGAATAGCCTTCACTCCAAGCTGCCTCTCCAGAATTTCCACAAACTCGCCCACTTTCACTGGCTGGGTATTCCCGAGGTTGAACACGCGGAACTGCGCGCGGCGCTTCTTGCCCTTCTTCTTCTGCCCCTGCTGCGCGCCAATGCTGGGCTCCGCCGTATCCAGCGCGCCCAGGCACCCCTTCACCACGTCATCAATGTACGTGAAGTCGCGAGCTAGCTCCTCGCCCTTGGGCCCGCGGAACACCTTGATTGGCTGCGATTGGTTCAGTGAAGCATGTGGAGGGGGGGAAGGAAGGAGGGGTGGGGGGAGGTGTCTCAAGGATGGGGGTTCAGGTGCTAAATGAAAAGAGCCGGGAGGGCAGATATGCGGCTTCAGTGTAGGTTTTTAGATTTGTGCGAGTTATCCAACCAATACGACGCACCTTGCCCTGCATGATGTTTCGCGCGAACGCGAAGTAGGCCATGTCGGGGCGACCCCACGGGCCGTACACCGTGAAGAACCGGAGCGCCGTGATCGAGAGCCCGTAGATGTGATTATACGTGTGCCCAAGTACCTCGTCGGCTTTCTGCAAGACCCAAGGCGGAGGAAACGGGAGAGGTAAAAGACAACATTGCAGTTACGCGGCAGTGACGCAGGGACAGAAGACTTACTGTTAGCTCTCCCCTGTCACCAGGTACGGGCAAAATTAGAACACACCCGTAGTTCAGGAATTCATGGTTCAATGGTGTATAGAGTATTTACCTTAGTCGCAGCGTACAGGCTCGCAGGTCGGTCCGTGCGGTCGTCCTCCGAAAACGGAACCTTCGAATTCAGCCCGTACACGCTGCTGGACGACGCGTACACTATAGCGGGGGGCGGATCGGCACTCTATCGGGGACAAATGGAAGCGGGGTGAGACGGGAGTGGATGGAAAGAGGGTGGGAGAAAGATGATAGGTGAGATCGAGTCGCGTTGTGGGACTCGGTCATGAGAGAAAAATTGCAGGTGCGAACAAGCGAATGGAGAAAAAATAATAGGTTAATTGTTACCTTGGCCTGCTCGAGAAGCGTGACGAAACCCGCGACGTTGCTGTGAACGTACGCGAGAGGGTTGTGAACGGCGTAACGAACACCAGCTTGCGCCGCGAGCTGCAGCACGTGCGTGAATTTCACGAGCTCGAACAGCTTCGCGAGTACCGCCGCGTCGTTAATGTCGCCGTCGACGATGAACCTGTTCGCACGCGACAGACGGGCCAGCTGGGGGAAGAGTAAGGTACACCGGAAGCGCACTAAACCGCACCAAAACAACAGGCGTAATAAGTGTACATCAAATACTTTCGCTCCATTTATCAACTTCCCCACTACTTACACTCCCTTGCTCTCGAGTCGTTGCTGCCGAGCACGCTTGAGCGCGGGCGGGTAGTAATCGTTAAAATTATCAATCCCCACCACACCATCGCCGCGTTCCTTCAGCGCGAGAGACGTATGCGAAGCAACGAAGCCAGCTGCGCCGGTTACCAGCACAACCATTCCGCCAGCCCTCGGTGTCGCCGACAACCGCACCTGGTCTTCCCAAGCCGGGCTTCCCCACGTTGGAAGCTCAGCATCCAGCATCCCCGCCGTTTGCGGCGGCGAACGCGTCAGGATGCCGATCGCCCTGAATTTTTGAGAAAAAAACGGCAGAAGGGACGGAACGTAACGGTAAGCCACTGCAGTCGATTGCCAGCCTAGACGGAAAAAAGGGCCACTGGATTTCGTGGTATCAGTGGAGTCGAAACGAGGCGAGGCAAATCAAGGCTCGAGCCTGCTGCAGAGATGGAGCACAAGGAGCTAGCAAGGCAAGAGTGCGCTCCGCAGAGTATGTAACTATCCGTCTCCAAACTAACAAACCCGAATGCAGATTTTACGAGAAGACCCATCCAATCAAATCCCAAATTGGCTAAAAAAAGGAACCGCAACATGATCGTACAGCTTATGCGCTGCCTTCCGTGATTCGGACGAGATCGGTGTGTGCGACGCGCACTCAGATAACAGCGGCGAGCACACAAGGACAGACGTCACGCGACGTTTTGACGCAGGGGTACGAACTCGCGAAATCCTTACATGACGAAAACGAAGAGGCTGAGACACGACGCTTGCAGCCACCACATCGTTCGAGCGGACCGCTGCACGAACGAGTTGCTCCGAAGCTTCTCGAACTCATCTCCGCTGGACCCGCCGCCCTTCAGCCCGCCGGCCGTTGGCAGCAGCTTGGCGAGAACCGGCGTCGGACTGCCAACCATGGCGCCGGGTTGAGAGCTCCCGCCGCAACAGCGGCCACAGCTGCTACAGCTGCAGCAGATGCCTCCACTGCACTTCAATCTGTTGAGCGTCGATCCACTCTTAACTCTAGGAAGCGCCAGCGGCAAAACTGACCGGGGTAAGGATTACAGGGTGAGTGCTAAGAGCTTGTTCGTCTCGTATGGCTGACACATCAGACTACACCGAGAAGGGAAAATAAATTGGTGGTTGGCAAACAGAGAACCTCAAAACCCTCGATGGGGACTGAAGGCCAGAGGCTATTGGGCTGGTTCCGAATCGTAAAACTAACGTTTTCTCCAAAATAATGCGATGAACAGAGGCTGAGGCGAATTCCTTAGAAATCAAGAGTGCGACGCAATGAGAATGTGCTGCCCAGGCCCAAGCAATGGCGATGAGCTAGCTGTGGATAGTGCTGGGAAGGGCACTTTGTTTCTGCCTGCTGTTTGGGAAGAGAAAGGTGGGTGGCAGGGAGAAACAAAACCCAAGTTAACAGCCGTGTGCGTTACAAGGGGCTTGAGCTGGGCGGGGCTGGGTGTTCTTGTGACGGGACAAACGGAAGGGACGTGATCGCGACTCCAGTCGCGAATTGCAATGCTTTGTGGGGCGAAAAGGCCGAGGGGGCGAGTCAAGCCGAATTGATCAAAACGAAATTCTCCACGCGCGAAAAGGTGCGGCTCGCGGGCTTGCCTCGGTTGGCGGAGGTGGCACAGAGGCAAAGCGGCTTGTGTTGAAAATCTCCCTTCGACAAATTGCTCTTTCCCCGTTCGCGCCTTGTCGCCCCGAAACCATCGGTAACTGCGTGGCGAGGGTGCTGCAGCTGTGAACGCGATGCATTCTTGCAACAAGCACTGCTGCCGAGCCTCAGGCTTCATGTTCGGAATGGGTCTCAAACAACTCATGTACTTTTATGTCTTTTCAGTACGGTAAATAATGGTTTTGAGGGAGCCTTTGACTGCCGAACCTCTCTCAAATTTCACAAACACCAATTATTCCCAAACCCACCGCTTCGAACACGAACGGACATCCCGAAGCATTTTCGACTCGATCTCATTATCAGCCGTCCAGATTATCTGATTGACAGACCCAGCATCAGCTCCACCCTTCAGTTAGAGAATTCATGTCGTAGCGTGATTGGCGCTGGAGTAAGACTGCATGGTATGGAGCAAGCGAGATTTGACCATTGGCTGCCGTGTCCATCACTCACTGGTCTACTTCTAGATCAAACCTAACAGCTTGACAGCAGCCATGAATAAGAAGCCGAACCTACCAGTGGTTTGCGACGTGACGTTTTAGGCTTGGCAACAAACCGTACCTCGATGCCTCCTTGGGTTCGGCTGTGTGGGGAACGTGCCACATCGTTGTCTTCGCTGCAAGGAGCTTCTTTCTTTCCGACGAAATCATTTGTAATATGTGTAGATCATTTACATGTTTATCATAACTTTTATTGTAGTGGTGTAGATGATATACTTCACATATGGTATCGTTCACTCTTTGCTTACAGTAAAACCTCGTTACTGCTCATCATCTGAAGGTCGAATTGCCGCCTCACATTTTCGACCCCCCTTCCACACCCTGGCTTTCTGACACGCGCCAAATCCCATATCCCGCCTTCTTCCCTCCATTTTCCCCCATCCAAACCAAGGAAATCCGTATACAAAAACCGACAGTTTGCCCTGGATGACAAAAACCGTTCACGCGAGCCCATCCGGCGGAGGACTGAAGAACCACCACAAGCGCGAGCAACTCGAGGTTCCAACTTTTTGACACCGTAAACTTCCAACTCAACCGTTCACACTATCTCTCGAAACACCTTAGAACGCACAGAACCTGACTGAACCGCATCAGGTTCACACACACCCAAGATAGTACATAAGCTTCTTGGTAGTTCGTTCGTGCAATGACAGTCGTTGCTGCGAGCGGATTTTGCTTCGTCGTCCGCAAAGGACCGCATTAGCGTCGAATTAGATAGCTAGGACCGTCCTGACGGCTACTGTGCCACCTTGAATTCCTGTGTCTGTTAGCCCACTGTGTTGTTCCTGCAGCTACATGTCTAACCTGCAGTCGTAGACTTACAAGCAGTTTTCTGCTACTTGTTTCGGTTGCTGCTCTCCGAGAAGCTTCAGGCGGAAAGCCGAGTGATTTTGTGTTCCTGCAAAGCCGGATTCAACTTCTTAAGGACTTATTCTTTACGAATGGTACGGCACCTCAGTCCGCACGCAACCATTTCTTAAATTTCTTGAGATCAGCATCGAGAGTCCTTTTGTTGCAGCTAAACATTTTTTCCTGCTCCACTCCCGTCTCCTCGCTTCCCGCAGGCCGTGGTTCTTCCAGTAGGATCCAACGAGAACTTGCCACCGAAGGTGGTTCGGGTAATTGTCAAGGAGCTTAGGTCGCTCCAAGACTCGCCTCCGGAAGGCATACGAGTGCTCCTGAATGATGACAACATCTCAACCGTCCATGCGGAGATTGAAGGACCAGGTAAGACGACAAATCCTATACTGCTCAACCTAAGACTTTTATTCACACACTGTATTGTCAAAGACTTTGCGTCCCTGAGCGTTTTGCGCACATTCAGTAAGTTGGTTTATATTACCTTTTAACTCTGCAATCTAAGAATAAATTCTTTGTCTTTTGTGACTTCACCTTCAGTCGGCACACCTTACGAGGGCGGGGCGTTTCGCATGAAGCTCGTGTTGGGACCAGAATTTCCAAACGCTCCACCAAAGGGCTTCTTTGTGACTCGGATATTCCACCCGAACGTGGCCAAGAATGGAGAAATCTGCGTGAACATCCTGAAGAAGGACTGGAAGCCGTGCCTTGGCCTGCGCCACGTACTCATTGTGAGTCAATCTCGATTTTAAGATGTATTACTATCCTCTCAATACTCTTTTTTTTCTAGTCCTCCGCTATATTTCTATGCTTTCGCACACCTGAATTTCCGAGGTCATTACAAACTGCTGCACTATGGCCATTTTAAAATTTCCGTCGCCCTTGCTTCTTGCAGGTTGTTCGGTGCCTGCTCATTGAGCCTTATCCAGAGTCAGCTCTTAACGAGGATGCAGGCAAGCTTCTTCTAGAGGACTATGAGGCCTACGCCAAGCATGCTCGCCTCTTCACGTCCATTCACGCCCCAGCTTCAGCAGCAGTAGCAGCAGCAGGCGCCACAGGTGTCAGCATGAGCCGCTCCAAATCCATGCCGCAGCATGCTGCTTCCCAACCAGGTCAACAAAGTCAACCGGGTCAACACCCGTCCTGCCCCCACCACACGCTTCGCCAGAGCGTCTCTGCTTCAGACCACCTCGCTCCTGGCGCTGCTTCTGCTTCTGCTGCCGCCGCCGCCGCTGCTGTTGCAGAAATGGCAGGTTCAGCCACTGCTGGCGGCGCCGCCGGCGCTGTGTGTGTGTCTCCGTCAGCCCTTGCTGCTGGTGGTCCTGGTGGGAGTGCTCCGCTTGCTCCCAACCGTTCGATTGCCAACGCTGAGGTGCAGAGAGAGGAGGGTGTGGGTGGTGCGGCTGGGGGGTCGAGCGGGGGCCTGCGCAGTGCAGGCAGCAAGGGGGAGAATGGAGCGAGAGGAGGGCACGAGAAGAAGAAGGTGGATGCACGGAAAAAGAGCCTTCGGAGATTGTAGGGAGAGGGGGGAGGGGAGGGGGGGGGGGAAGGTGGGGAGGTGGAGAAGGAAGGAATGGTGGCGTATGGCTCGAGGAAAGGGTCAAGGATACAATTGAATGATACGTCGCGTAGTTCCCCATATACTTCATATGAGAGCGTGAGCATTGGTCCAGGTTTGTTCCTTGGCAATGCAAGGGACAGTCTTTGGTGTTATGAGCTGTTCTGAACTGGGTTGATCTCTACTCAATCCTCGTATGCACACTTGTATCATGTGCTGAGCGATGCTTTTATAATGTGCAACTCATTCCAAGATCTTAACGATGATCACCTTTCCTAGTCTGAATTTTGAACCCCACCACCTGAACTTAAAACAATATGCACAGCTCAAAATGGTAGAGCACCGCACCACACCCCTTCAACTCACAATTTTGTTGGACAAGTAGCAGCGAAGAATTTGAGCAACATTGCCAGGGCGGGAAACACTAACAGGTTTCTTTGTGGCACATCCCGCGCTTTGTAGTCATGTCGCGCTCGTTCCAGCCTCCACGCGCTCACTGCCCAACTAGCCTCGCGAAAACACAGACGGCTGCTACTCCCACTCTGTTCCATCGTTTTTCAACGCTCCGACAATCCTCCGCGCGCTGCTCGCCAGCTTCCCTCACTTCCGCTTCCCCCGGGCTCTCCGCGTGTGCCCGCCACGGGACCTCTCCGATCACCGCGCGCCGCGCTGCGCTGCCATTACTCACAGCAGCGTGCTGCAGAGGCACCAAAGTCACCGCCGTTACAATCAGCGAGCGACGGATCGCGAGTGATTATAACGAGAGGGAGAAACAAACGCAGCTGTTGAGAATTCTCGAGTGTCAAGACGAGCGCGACAAACGGACGCAGCAGCCGCCCGTCGAAGCATCTCTTCCGCAAACCATCTCTAGCGCCGCTCCACCGCGGCAAAGCAGAGGAGCAATATGCCGCGCCACGCCCCTGCACGCACGATGGCTCTCTCCCGCGCTCGCAGCTGCGGTAGTCGCCTCCGTCCTCCTCCCGCTGCCTCTCCGCCTCCCCTCGCAGCACACTCCGCCCGCTGTGGAGCAATGCATGATGGCAGGCAGCAGACCGCTGGGCTGTGCGTGGGGCAGTGCACGGGCCATGCCGGCGCCATTCAGTGGGGCCTCGGCGCCTCTGCCATCCGACACGTTTGACAACGTGCCCCAGTCGCTCTCAGGTGCCCCAGTCGCTCTCAGGTGCCCCAGTCGCTCTCAGCTGTGCTGTCAGGTGCCCCAGTCGCTCTCAGGTGTGCTGTCAGGTGCCCCAGTCGCTCTCAGGTGCCCCCTTAAGTGCCCCAGTCACTCTCAGGTGCGCCTTCAGGTCCCCCGTCGCCAGTCTCTCTCAGGTGGCCTCTCAGGTGCCCCAGTCGCTCTCAGCTGCACCAGTTGCTCTCAGGTATAGGTGTGGTGCCAGGTGATATCAGGTTCTTTGCTGGGTGTGCCTCAGTTTCTATCAGGTGTGCCGACAGGTGCCCTGTCAGGTGCCCTGTCAGGTGCCCTGTCAGGTGCCCTGTTGGATGCACTGTCGGGTGCACTGTCAGCAGTTCTGTCAGGTGCTCTGTCAGGCGTGCACGTGATCCCGTTCCCCCTTGCCTGGTCATCTTTCCAGTGTCCTGCCCAATTTCCCTTCCCCACTTGGTCTCCCCACTCTCCGTCCCTCTCCTCTCCATCACTTGGCAGAGAATGACAGGAAGCCGCGGCGGATTCAAAAGCCAAACACATCAGCAGCAGAGAAGTGTCTGCGCAAGTGCTGCGTTCTGTATACATTTGCACCTTTCCCATTTCCATTCTCCCTCCCCTCTCGGACCCCCCACTCTCCATACCTCTCCTCCCTGCATCAACAGAGGGTGACAGGAAGCCGCGGCGAATTCAGAAGCCCAAGACACCAGCAGCAGAGAAGTGTCTGCGCAAGTGCGTGGGCACGTGCATCAGGGGAGGGGCGGGCGCACCTGGGGAAGGGCCTATCAACGTTGAGAGGTGAGGCTCTTTGCCATGTGTGAATGGCCTCACTCGCGATAGTCCTTTTAAACGGTTATGCGCATTTCATCACTGTGCATGTAAAGACGATGGCGCCGCGTGCCTTTTATAATCTCCCCGCCCCATTCCACTGATCTTTAACAGTTTTTTTGTGAACTCCTTGCTCCCCTCTTTCCAGGCCCATTGTGGTTTTCAAGTCTGAATTCAGGTCAAGACAATACTGGTGAGTGGGGCTTTTGAGAATGAAAACTTACAGCCTGAAACCAAACCCTTCCCTGAGCCCTGATTTTTGTAAACAGTGGCATATCTTGTTTTGCCCTGATATCTCGCTCTTTGCGTCATCACAACCCCCCCTCCCCTCTCGCCCTCCCCCCCCCCCCCCTCTCTCCCCCCCCCCCCCCCCTCCCCTCCCCCCATTTTTTTTGCCCTCTTAATGGCTGTCTCCATCCCACCTTCCTCTTTCTGCGTGTCCTTCCTCCCATCCTGTTGGGTGCAGTCTAGTGGAATGTAGTGAGATCTGCAACCTTTTGTCGGTTGCAAAGAGCAAGCCTTGATCCCATGTACCGTATTTATGCAAGGTAGTGCAAGCCGGAATTGTAAATGTAGTGGGAACTGCAATTTTGTGAAGGTGAATGACGTGTGCTCAAAGCATGCATTGTTAATTTTAGAAAGGAAAGCATTGCTGGGATAAGTGAGATAGCCCAGCTTGATTTCAAATTACCGTACGGGACATGAAGTTGGGGAGGTATGACCAAAATTTTTGTAAATCGGTTACAGGTATGTTGTCCCCAAAATTATGTACTATTGCGGAGGTGTTTATATTTATTGCGACGTCAGTTAGTACATTTCTCGCGGATATTTAATTTATGTATCGTGGCTCAAAACGGTTCAACACGGTGAGAAGCTTTTATCGTTGCGAAACGAAGTTGAGTGTAGGGAAGCAGTACAACCTGACGTCGCCCCATTCAGGCAGGTGAGTAACAGCGGTTCAGAGTGGTATAGTGAGAAACCCGTTTATATCATGCTCGGCCGCCCGTGTCCGGAACTGATGATTGGGTGAACCCGTGGAACCTGTCACCACCTGAGACCTGCAGCTAGCTGGTGTGAGTGTGGGAATGGTTGGCGAGTGTGGCTCGCAGGCCTAGTGGGAGGCTAGCCCCACCTGGCAAAACTGCTGCATCTTGTGGGGCTGTTCGCCAACGACCCCGACGTAGCGAATGCCCCGCCAGTTTCGCCAGCTACATTCGCGAGTGTGGGCTGTCCCTGCAACCGTTCAGGGCCCTGTCAACAGTGGATGGGACGACAGACCTCATGTTCGCCATGGCTGTAATGCAAGTTACACCTATGACACGATTGCAAGGCAACATCGGTTCCCGACAGGACTGCGAGAACAACATGCGCGTTTCGTCCAGACGCTAGATTTCGCATACGAAGCGACTTGAGACAGAGGTCAGCCCGACGCCTCTGGGTTTCCTCCATCGCCTTCCCCCCCGCATGTACCTCCTTCACCACCCCACTCAGCTCAACCATACACGCGGCGCGCCGCATGCGACTCAAAACAATCAGCAGCACGCTCACGCTAGGCATGTCGTGCTGCTATTTTCGCAGTCAGCCACCATTACAGTGTCGGTGATGGTTTCTCCCTTCTTTAGAAATTAGCATCTCAGGGAACGAGACGCTGACATCCAGTTTAGACCGTTCAGGCTCCTAGTTCTCCGAAACATCTCCTGCCGAAGGTCACTCTCCGGGAATAGGTGCACAAGCCTCTGCATCGAAACTCAGCCAAGACTGATCGCACGCTTCATCTCAGTTCTGCTAGATACTTCCATCCCACGCTGGAGTCTACTACACGTTGAAATTTCTCACACGGAAAACATGGCAGACCGTGTCATTAGAAAACGCCGACACAGATTCTCGCTATTAGTTCTCCCTTTCCTCGTCTCTTCACTCCTACTAACCTCTCTTGACTCCTCTAGATGGAGCCTAAACCAAGCTGCCGCCGCCGCCATTCCGAATGCTAATACCGAAACGAAGCTTCGGCGAATCCAGTTCTCTCAGGCGGAGCTGAATGCCGCCACTACTCTTCGCGCTGCTCAACGGCCGCAAGCCCCACGCAGAGGCGGCGGGACGGCACAGCTGGCGCAGCGGGAGCGCACGGAGGCGCCAACCGAGCTCCGCGTTCCCCTTAACGGCGCCGCGATGAGCGTCGCGTCGCTCAGTGAAATGCTCCTCGTCCGCCCACGCGGCGCCGCTGCCGGCGCAAAACAGTCATCCGCGGAAGCAGACGGTTACGCGTCCTGCCCGCAGTTCCAACCCTGGAAAGGCGCGCTTGCGCGCATCTCCGCGTGCAAGTGGCGCAGACCGGGTTCCGCCACCCCCGCGGGCCCCTCCTCCCCGTCCACCGCTTTGCGGCTGTTTATGATCGATTTTCTGGAAGACAAGAGAGGCCGCGCGGTTGAGAACGAGTGCCGCGATCGGCGCTGGATCTGGCCGCGGCCGCTCGTCACGGGCGGAGAGGTTTGCGTCGACGAGGCGGACGAGCTTCGAGTGGACGGCGACGATCTTAACGATGATGACAATAACGAGGAAGAGCTGCCGGAGCTCGTGGGCGCGGCGGAGCTCATGGAGCGCGTGCGCGCGGCGCTGGGGCAGCGGCGCGGGGAGCAGCGGTCGCGGCTGGAGGCGAACGAGGCGGACGAGGTGGTGGAAGTGGGCGCGCTGGGGGGAGGCGGAGTGCTGCGCTTTAATGACGTGTTTGTGAACTCTAAGGGGACTGTCTTTAACGAGAGCCACGTGTTTGCAGTGGACGCGTGCGGGCGGGGCCAGTGGAGCCGGCAGGGCGGCGCAGTGAAGGCGCTAAAAGATTCGATTTCTTTTGCGCCAGGGACTCACGTGAGCGTGCACGAGCACCTGGTGAATCTCCTACCGTACGAGCAGGAGGACGCGGAGCAGCAGGCGGAAGACGCGGAGGAGGCGGAGATGGCGGAGCGCGGGCTGCGGGGGACGGACTGGGTGGCGCAGGCGCGGCTGCACAACAGCAAGGAGCGGCTGCTGGCGCGGCTGCTGCCCGCGCTGTACCTGGTGGCGACTGCGCTCATGCCTGACGCGAGACAGTACCCCCTGCTGCTGCGTAGCGAACATGTGAGTATCGCCAATGCCGGTTACCAGCTTCTTCTTATTCGCTGGACCTGTTTGTTACCATTACACACAGATAGCGGAAGAACAGCCGTGCATGCCATGCTAGTCAGCCACTTATTCTCCTTCATTCCGTTTCTCCTCTCTCGTTTCACAATCCAGCTTCTGGAGCATCTGGGTCGCAGCATGTTCGGGGTGGACTTGGCGTCGCTATCGGTGCACCACCTACCCGCCAGCAGGCAGCATCGCGAAGGCCATCGCCACCTCTTCTACGCGAAAACACTGTTCATGGTACGCATGCCACATGCGGTTCACCTTTTTGTGGATTCGGGGATTTTTCCATTTCACCGACATGCGATTTCCATCTGGACCTCCTTTCCACTCACCCTCCCTCCTCGTGCCTCACCTTCCCCGTCTTCCCCCTCCCTCCTGTTCTCCCCTATCTTCTTCCATTCTACCCCCATCCAGCCCGTCCATGCCAGCAGCGTGTGCGGCCTCTCCTCCTCCGGCCGCCCGCGCGCCCCCGACGTGCTCTGGCTGGCCCTCCGCGGCCACCACCTGCTACCCCCCGATGGCCTCCCCATCCTCTCCCCCGACTGGACCCCCCGCCTCCCCGCGTCCGCGCAACCCGCCTCTTCCCCGCAATCCGCTCCGCCAGCCGCGCACCCGCTGCACCACCTCGCGGTGGGGCGAACGCTGCCGGAGGATTGGGTGGTGGTGGTGTCGCTCGTGTGGAGCGCGCACGTGATTGCTCGCGGCGGCGGGGGCGTGGGCGACGGGAACGCGCGGACGGCGGAGACGCGGCACACGGAGGAGGCGATGGAGGCGATCGTGGGGATGCTGCGCGAGCTGTATTCGGAGGAGCGCGTGGTGGTGTACGAGGAGCATCTGCCGCTAAGGAAAGCCAAGGCGTTGTTCTCGCGAACGATTCTGCTGGTGGGACCCACGTCGCCGGCGCTCTCGAATATCATCTTCATGCCGTTCAATTCAACGGTTATCGAGATCTTACCGTACGTTGTGAACGGCACGTTAGAGTCTAGCAAGAGCAAGGTTGAGGATTTGCAGCGAGATGGGAAAACCGGTGGGAAGTTGGCCAACCAGCAGAGCACTGCCACGTGGCACTACAGGCTTTCTGAACGGGTGGGTGTGCATCACCTGCTGTCCGTGTGCGATCCCGAGAGGAACCACATGGACGAAAGCGAGATGTGCCACGTGGACGAAGTCTACGCGACGGTAACCGCATCCCTGCGGAAGAACCCGGTGCTGCGCGAAGCCACAGGGTTACCACCCGTGACCTTCCCCCCTGACGACGTCAGCAGACTGGGTGATTTCAGCGATTTTATTCCCGGATCGAGGCTGCGGAAGGGGACGGGGCAGGTGGCGGGATTTCGGCAGTGGGCGGAGTGTGTGGCGGAGAGGGGGGAGTGGCGCTTCAACGCTACTCCGCGGGTGCTGGCGTGGCCGGATCACGGAGTCGAGAAGTGCGACGCGGAATGGGAGGCCGCAGGCGGAATCGCGTCGACAAAAGCGGATAAGGTCGCGGCACGCGGGCCAGCAGCTGCAGCCGATTGGAAGGTTCGAGATACGCTCAAGTACGAATGGGTGGTCCCAACAAACAAATGTCCAAAGGCTACTGGCTTCGGAGCAGCGCAGCTGGCAGTGCCTAGTTCCGAAGTGCTGAACCCGCAAGAACTCTTTTCGAGGTTCGATGGTCGAGGGTTGTGTGAGCTGGCGTGGCGGAGAAAAGGCGGGCTGCGGGTTGCGTTTCTTGGAGATTCCTTATCTCGGGAATCCCACGTGAATTTCGTGAACAACATCGTCAAGCACATCCCTAAGCCTGCGAACGTTATAACGAGGCGCAAGTGTATGACGTGGACAACAATCCTCGGATCGAAGGTGGACCTGACTTGTATGGAGTACACGTTTGAGGGAGCTGGGTGCCCAGGTTTGAGTGTACACTATGTGGCAAACAGGAGACTAATTCCTGTGAACGAGGAGAAGCTGGAGCGGATAAGATGGATTAGCACCCCTTGGATGGAGGTTCCTGGCATTCGCAACTCCCATGTGCTGGTCATCAATCGTGGAGCACACTATAAGGTGAACGAGAACGTGGTGGAGTCGGTGACGCGGATGATGCGCTTCATTCGTTACAATCACCCGGACAAGCTCGTGATATACAGGACCACTGCACCAGGGCATCTGAACTGCTTGGAGCACACTCGGCCATTGAAGGAGCGGCAGGACCCAGAACAGCTGCCCTACAAATGGGGCAACTTCAAGCTTCAAAATGAGCTGGTGAAATCAATAGTGGAGGAGAATGGGGGAGTGTATATGGATGTGGACCCTATGACTGCTCTCAGACCAGATGGGCACCGGGGGGATGTGGGAGGCACAAGGCTGGATTGCCTGCACTACTGCTCACCTGGACCAGAGGATACATGGTCGCAGTTCATCTACAATGTCGTCATAAGGCTGCTCCCAATTCAATAAAAATTGGATGACATGCCCAGAATAATTGTATGTTCATCCAATAGTCTAATAAGAAGGAAGATATAGTTTTTGGTCGTGTTTTTCATCAATGTTCGGTCACAAAAGCAGGAAATCTTTCAGCCCAGGTGATTATGTTGGCTAAGATTAAGTGGTAGTATTAGAAAACAGTGTAGGATTATTATAGGCAGTTGGTGCGGGAAAAGGTGAACCTTCTAATGCACGACGTGCCCCTCTAATGCACCTTCTAATCTTTCAGCAAAGCGTAACCGAAACGTCAAAGTTGTTTGCATTTCGCGTATCAATGTTCATGTAGGTGAGTGGCGGTTCAAAGCGGCTAAATAGTCTGACCGCACAGCACCGTACGCAACCGCGCTTACCGAACACAAGTGGATAAATTCCGCAAACACTCAGCTTGAGCTGAGTGCGAAACTCGCTCTACCACCGTTCACCACGGATCCACCACGAAACTCCACCATCCCCTTCATAAAGCTTGGCCGTGAAGCTTGGCTCCACGCCATGTTCCTCCCGCGTCTTCTCAGATCCGAACAATCACCTTGTCTTGTTGGGTCGCGCAGTGCGTCGCCTCATGCGAGAGCGACGATGACGTGGCGTACACCGGCGCGTTCGGCGACCATCCTCGAGGCTAAAGAATCATAAGCAAGTCATCTGAAAGAACGTTTCCGAAGCTGTGCGCAGCTTTCAACCAGTTTAAATAGTTCTCCGTAGCTTCTTCCAACATCGCCGGCAGATATTCGCATCCGCGTCGTCGCCATCCCGGCGGCGTCAAGGCGTCTGCTGCTCCAATCATTCGACGTGCATCATTCTCCTCTAACGCACCTTCGAGTATAGTCCACACATGCTATGCTCTCTTCCAGCATGGCCAAGTCCCGGTGGAGCACGTGCTCATATCCACACATGCTCTCTTCCAACATGGTCAAGTCATGTCCGCGATCGAGCCGTCGTCGCCATCCCCGTGGGGTGAAGGCGCCGCTGCTCGTCGCCTGCTTAATTCTCCTCCTCACGCCCCGCCGTCTAGAACTTTCTGAGGATTCCCTGGACTGTACTAAGCTTTCCTGTAGCGCAAACGGGTTCATTCTTAGCGGAGCATCGCATGCGTCCAGCAGCGTGCATAGACCCGCGCGGACGTTGCGATCAGCCTCCGCTCCGCGGTTCCCCTTGCGCGCACAGCCTGCGAATCTCCCCGCTCCTGGAGCTCCGCAAAATCCCACTCCGCTGCTCCGCTTCCGCCCACAGCCCGCGGAATCAGCGGAACTGGGCAGCACTGGGGGAAGACAGCGGCGGAATGGCGGGCGCAAGCAGGCGCAGCATGGGGAGCAAGCGGAGTTGCCGGAGCAGTGGGATCAGCGCGAGGGTGATCAGCGGGAGGGGGATGCGCAGGATCCGCGGGGCGAGCGGGAGCGGACGGGAGCGGCGGCGGCGCTAGAGGCGGCGGTGGAAGGATCGTCCCTGGCGGTGCTCCCTCTGGCCGACCTCATTCAAGCGCCGCGATCCGCGCAGCAGCTGGAGTGGCGGCGAGCGCAGCAACAGCAGCAGGCGGGCGGCAGCTCAGCAGCAGCGACAGCATCACCAGGAGTGTGTCCGGACTTCCAGCCGTGGGGCTTCTTTTCGCCTGACCCCCCCTCCCCGCACATCCATGCATGCGCGTGGCGGCCCATGGCAGCTGACGATGCCCTCTCTGGTACCCTTCCAGTCAGCCAGAGCAGCAAGAGCAGTGCGAGCAGCAGCGCGGTTCTGGCGAGGCTGTCTGGTTTTATGCAGCAGTTTCTGGCCGACAGGGCAAGCGGGGCAGGCGGCGGGGGAGGCGGCGCAGTGGGTGGGGGGAGCGGCAGGGCGGGAGGGGTCGGCGGTGCTGCAGTGGGTGGGAGGAGCGTGGCCGTGCAGCAGGACTGCGCGCACTGGAAGTGGCTGTGGCCGCGCCCCCTGGTGACACGTGGCGAGATGTGTTTGGACGAGGACGAGGTGTGGGAATTCGTGGAAGAATGGGTGCGGGCGGAGCAGGAGACACAGCAGAAGCTGATGGCGAGTGAGAGGAAGAAGGAGAGGCAGAAGGAGAGGCAGAAGCAGGGGCTTGTGAAGGAGGAGATTGCTGGGGAGGAGAGTCCCCTAGAAGGGTTAGAGGTTGATCCTAAGGAGGTATTTAGACGCACTCAGGAGGCGATTAACTTCATAGAGGCTGAGCGCGGGGCGCAGATGGTGGGTGGCGCGGGGGGAGAGGAGGGGGGGGAGGAGAAGGGGGAGGAGGTGGAGGGGGAGATGATGGAGGTGGGGATGGGAGGAGAGGTGGGAGGAGTGGTGGGGCAAGGGGGGGTGGTTCTGTTGCGAGATGTGTTTGTGGACGGGAGGGGTGTTGTGTTCAACGCGTCCCATGTGTTCTCATTGCATGGGGCGTGTGCGGGCATGAGGGGAGGAGGCAGGAAGGGGCAGCACGCAGCAGCACAGAGGATTAAGAAGGTGAGGGGCGGAGAGGCTAATATTGAGAATGCGGGGGTGTTGCGTTGTGTTGAACGCTTCCCAAGAGTTTTCATTGCACGGGGCGTGCGTGGGCATGCAGGGAGGCAGCAGGAAGAGGCAACATGCAGCAGCGCAGAAGCTGCAGAAGGTAAGGCAACATGCAGCAGCGCAGAAGCTGCAGAAGGTAAGGCAACATGCAGCAGCGCAGAAGCTGCAGAAGGTAAGGCAACATGCAGCAGCGCAGAAGCTGCAGAAGGTAAGGCAACATGCAGCAGCGCAGAAGCTGCAGAAGGTAAGGCAACATGCAGCAGCGCAGAAGCTGCAGAAGGTAAGGCAACATGCAGCAGCGCAGAAGCTGCAGAAGGTAAGGCAACATGCAGCAGCGCAGAAGCTGCAGAAGGTAAGGCAACATGCAGCAGCGCAGAAGCTGCAGAAGGTAAGGCAACATGCAGCAGCGCAGAAGCTGCAGAAGGTAAGGCAACATGCAGCAGCGCAGAAGCTGCAGAAGGTAAGGCAACATGCAGCAGCGCAGAAGCTGCAGAAGGTAAGGCAACATGCAGCAGCGCAGAAGCTGCAGAAGGTAAGGCAACATGCAGCAGCGCAGAAGCTGCAGAAGGTAAGGCAACATGCAGCAGCGCAGAAGCTGCAGAAGGTAAGGCAACATGCAGCAGCGCAGAAGCTGCAGAAGGTAAGGCAACATGCAGCAGCGCAGAAGCTGCAGAAGGTAAGGCAACATGCAGCAGCGCAGAAGCTGCAGAAGGTAAGGCAACATGCAGCAGCGCAGAAGCTGCAGAAGGTAAGGCAACATGCAGCAGCGCAGAAGCTGCAGAAGGTAAGGCAACATGCAGCAGCGCAGAAGCTGCAGAAGGTAAGGCAACATGCAGCAGCGCAGAAGCTGCAGAAGGTAAGGCAACATGCAGCAGCGCAGAAGCTGCAGAAGGTAAGGCAACATGCAGCAGCGCAGAAGCTGCAGAAGGTAAGGGGCGGTAAAGAGTGGGGGGTGGTGGGGGTTGGACCAGAGGGTGGGGGGCTAAAGGTGTGCGGATGTGAGGGTGTGAGGGTGTGAGGATGTGAGGGTGTGAGGGAGGGAAGCATGGAGAGGGAATGCGGAACGTGGTTAGGGTGCTTTATTTTTTTACATCCCATCCTCAATAACCGGTTTTCCCTCCTCTCCAGTCGCTCTCCTTTCCCCAGGCACCCCTGTGAGCGTGCACGAGCACCTGGTCAACCTGCTGCCGTGAAAACACCAGGAGGGAGAGGACTCAAAGGAGCACGACACAAACCTCTCTCTTTTCGTTCCTCCCCTCCTCCTCTCCAGTCGCTCTCCTTCCCCCCAGGCACCCCTGTGAGCGTGCACGAGCACCTGGTGAACCTGCTGCCGTACGAACAGGAGGCAGAGGACGAGGAGGAGGGAGGGAGCGAGGAGAGCGGAGGGAGCGAGGGGAGCGGAGGGGGAGAGTGGGTGGCGCAGGCGAGGGTGCACAGTGGGGGGACGAGGGGGCTGGTGCGCCTGCTGCCAGCGCTCTTCCTGCTCGCCTCCTCTCTCATGCCCACTGCCCGTCGCTTCCCCATTCTGCTAAATCACGACCATGTAAGTCGTGGGGAGGGGATGGGAGGGAGAGTTGGGTGTTTGGGCCGGCCCACTCTGCTTGCGCATCTTGACCCACCCGGGATGTCTTTGGCATTCACCTCGCCCCACTCGCTATGCACCACTCCGCAGCCCCGTGTCAATGCACCACTCCGCAGCCCCGTGTCAATGCATCCACCGCAGCAGCAATAGTGCCTCACCTTTGTCTTACTCTCCTTCCTCCCCCTTCCCCCCTCCCCGCTCCCCCTTTCCCCATCCTTTCCACACCTCCGTCCACCAATCAGCTGCTGTCACATCTAGGCCCGGATGTCTTTGGTGTTGACCTCGCTCCACTGGCCATCCGCCATCCCTCACTACTGTTTCACAACACCTACAGCAGCAGCAGCGACGCCTCTTACAACGACCCAGGCAGTGGCCCTGACTTAACCACCAACCCCATCACCACCACCGGCATGCCTCCCCACCTCTTCTTCGCTCGCACCCTCCTCCTCCCCATCCACACCCCCAGCCTCTGCGGCCTCTCAGCACCTCCGCTCACCGCACTGCACTCCTCTCCACCGCGCACCCCTGACGCCCTCTGGCTGGCCCTCCGCGGTTTACACCTGCTGCCCCCCCACGGCCTCCCCATCCTCTCCCCCGACTGGACCCCCCGCCTCCCCTCGCCCCTGCAAATGCCGGCACCTGAAAATTCACCTGAAGATTCACCTGAAGTTTCACCTGAAGATTTTCCTGATGGGCTGGTGGTGGGGCAGTTGCTGCCGGAGGATTGGGTGGTGGTGGTGTCAGTGGTGTGGAGTACGCATGTGATGGAAGGAGGGGGAGGGGGGGAGGGAGTGAGGGAGACAGAAGCAGCCATACATGTGATTATAGCGATGCTCAAGGAGCTGTTCTCTGATGGGAGGGTGATTGTATACGATGAGAACATGCCTCTGCTGCAAGGTGGGTGGCTCACAGGCGCACACGCATGCATGTATGCATGTGTGACAGAGATGCATGTGAGGCAGAGATGCATGTGAGGCAGAGATGCATGTGAGGCAGAGATGCATGTGAGGCAGAGATGCATGTGAGGCAGAGATGCATGTGAGGCAGAGATGCATGTGAGGCAGAGATGCATGTGAGGCAGAGATGCATGTGAGGCAGAGATGCATGTGAGGCAGAGATGCATGTGAGGCAGAGATGCATGTGAGGCAGAGATGCATGTGAGGCAGAGATGCATGTGAGGCAGAGATGCATGTGAGGCAGAGATGCCCTTAGTTACTCCGTGATGATGGCATCCCTCCCCCGCCCTCACCAACCTCCTCTTTATGCCCTTCAACTCAACTATCATTGTGCTGCTCCCTACCTTGTCATGCCCCCTTCCATCCCCCCCCCCTTCCCCCCGTGCAGCAAAGGCATTGTTCTCAAGAACGATACTCCTCGTGGGTCCCACCTCCCCCGCCCTCACCAACCTCCTCTTTATGCCCTTCAACTCAACTGTCGTAGAGATCCTCCCCTACCCCGTCACTCGCCCCCGCTCCTCCCTCCCCCTCTCGCTCCTCCTCCGCTCGCCCTACCACAAGAAAGCAGCCGCCGAGGCCGCTCTGATCGGCCAACCGAGCGCCGCCACGTGGCACTTCCAGCTGGCGGAGCGGCTCGGGATTCGGCATTATCTGAGCGTGTGCGACCCCACATGGCTGGACAAGGGCACGGGGGAAAAGTGCCACGTGGACGAGGTGTATGCTACAGTGCTCGCTACAGTCCGAAGAAACCCGCCCCTGCTAGCCCTCACAGGGATCCCCGTAATCTCCTTTCCGCCAGACGCCGTCCAGCTGTCCCCTGAGCCTCCTACCGACAGCAGCACCGGCATCCGTGCCAAACCCAGTGACTTGGCCGAAGCTGCCAGCAGGTTCGGCGATCTCGGCGACTCGATTCCAGCAGAGTTGGGTCTGGAAAATGGGTTTAGCGACCTGGGGGATTTCAGCGATGCCATTCCGGGGTCCAGATTGCATAAGGGAACGGGACAGGTGGCAGACTTTCGGCGGTGGGCTGCGTGTGTGGCGGAGAGGGGGGAGTGGCGCTTCAACGCTACTCCGCGGGTTCTGCCCTGGTCGCAACGAGGCTATGACGTCTGCGACCTCGCCCTCGTTCGGGAGAACCGAGGCTTGGGCGGAGCTGATGCCGATGCTGTGGCTTTGGTTCGGGAGATGGGTCGGGAGGAGCGGGAGCGGGCGTGGAAGGTGAGGGATGCGGTAAAGTACCAGTGGGGGGTTGCTAAGGAGAGGTGTCCGCGTGTGGTTCGGGCGAAGCTAGGCGCCCAAGCTCAGGCTGTTCCAGGTTCGGAGGTTTCCGAACCTGACGAGCTGTTCTCTAGGTTCGACGGGCCTGCGCTGTGTGAGCTGGCTCGGAGGAGGGTCGGCGGGCTGAGGATTGCCTTTGTCGGGGACTCCCTTACCCGCGAGTCTCACTTCTCCTTTGTGAATAGCGTTGTAACGCATGTGCGAAAGCCAGCGAGTGTGGTAACCAGAAAGGACGGCGCGATGTGGGTGGGGCAGATGTCGCGGACAAGAGGAGATACCTATACCCGAGTGACGTACAGATTTGATGATGCTGGATGTGGGGAGCTGGTAGTGCATTACATTGCAAATCGCCGGCTTGTACCTGTGGGGGAGGAGATGTGGGAGCGGGTGAGATGGATTAGCACCCCGTGGATGGAGAGTGAGGAGATTAAAGGGGCTCATGTGGTGGTGATAAATCGGGGCGCGCATTTTAAGCCCACGGGGAATGTCGTGTTGTCGGTGTCGCGCACGCTGCAATTTCTCCGGTATAATTACCCTGAGAAGCTGATTGTTTACCGGGCGACGGCCCCGGGTCACCTCAACTGCAAGGACTACAGCAAACCCCTTTTAAAGCGGCAAAACGGGAGTGATTTACCCTTCCATTGGGGGGAATTCAAGGTGCAAAACGAGGCAGTGAGGCCGTTAGTGGAGGCAATGGGGGGTGTGTTCATGGATATAGATCCGCTGAGTGCCTTGAGACCTGATGGGCATCGGGTGTTTGATGGGAAGGTGGATTGCTTGCATTACTGCTTGCCGGGACCGGAAGACACATGGTCAGAGTTCCTGTATAATATCATACAGAGGCTTGTTCCTGTAAAGTAGATTATATTCTTTTGTATTATAATATTATTTTCAGATACGTTTTATTAGGATTTCTTCTACAACTGTGAAAAATAGGTCGAGCTGTGCATATGAACATGATACCGTAACCACTTCAATTTTTTTGTACACACACTACTGTATATCAGGGTTTTCGTTATCAGACCAATTTGGTCTGATGGTCTGAGTTTAAGACTTGTTTTTTTGTATTCATCTGCTTCCTAAGAATTTGTGTTTGTTCTCATCTGATCAGTAAGATTAGCGTTTTAGGTTCGTATGATTTTTCCAGACGTGTAGAATTCTTAATCTGGAAACACAGATATCGAGTTCGGTTTCGTCTGAAACCGACATCTTGACCCACTAGGCCATATGCCCAGTGGACCAGAGGATAGGACCACAGGTACAGCCATTTGCTGCCCTGTAACAGCACGCGCATTCATTGCGCATGTCTTATAGCAGCCCCGCCGAAAGCGGCGATGAGGTAGATACTAGATACGTAGCATGTGGCCGTTTGTTCCACTCCCTCCCTTGCCCCCACACGCTCTTACCCCAACCTCGCAGTAGGTTGACTTTTAACAGTAACTTTTTTTTCGTCTTGGTTATCAGACTACGGAAGTTTCGTCGTCCGAGCATAAGACGGGGGAAAATTTTTTCAGGGTACTGTCAGACAGCCCCAAAACCTAGCGAGAGCCCTGCTGTATATGGAGCCACTTCATTGGTCCACTCGTTTTCCAGGGTAATGGCACAGGTCAACAAGAGCCCATCAAGGGGAGTCAACGCAAGTCAACAGAAGTCAATCAGGTCAGGGCGAGTCAACTCGGAAGAAGGTGTAGGAGAGGGTGAGATGGTTCACATTCTTCATCTGTGGGTCCGTGGCAAACTCAGGATCGATGTAAAAGAACACCTGATGGGTGGTGAGAGGGGGTGCATGGGGCACGGGGGGGTGCATGGTTGGCTAGGTCAAAAAAAGAATAAGAGGTTCTTCATCTGTGGGTCCGCGGCAAACTCAGGATCGATGTAAAAGAACACCTGTGGGGGATGAGAGAGGGTGGGTGGTGTAGGGGTGTGGGAGGGGTGCATGGAGGTGCGCATTCATGTCAGCATGCATGTGAGCATGCATGTCAGCATGCATGTCAGCATGCATGTCAGCATGCATGTGATGCATGGAACTTGGCACATGGCACACACATCACATGACACATCACGCATGGCACATGACACATGGCCCCCCTCTCTCTCACAGGCATGTCGATGGTCTCTCTTTGACTCAACTGGACAAATCACACGTCGATGGTCTCTCTTTGACTCAACTGGACAAATCACACGCGGCACACGACACATTGTCTCTCTCACACTCACAGGCATGTCAATGGTCTCTCTCACTCACAGGCATGTCAATGGTCTCTCTCACTCACAGGCATGTCAATGGTCTCTCTCACTCACAGGCATGTCAACGGTCTCTCTCACTCACAGGCATGTCAATGGTCTCTCTCACTCACAGGCATGTCAATGGCCTCTCTCACTCACAGGCATGTCAATGGTCTCTCTCACTCACGGGCATGTCAATGGTCTCTCTCACTCACAGGCATGTCAATGGTCTCTCTCACTCACAGGCATGTCAATGGTCTCTCTCACTCACGGGCATGTCAATGGTCTCTCTCACTCACAGGCATGTCAATGGTCTCTCTCACTCACAGGCATGTCAATGGTCTCTCTCACTCACAGGCATGTCAATGGTCTCTCTCACTCACAGGCATGTCAATGGTCTCTCTCACTCACAGGCATGTCAATGGTCTCTCTCACTCACAGGCATGTCAATGGTCTCTCTCACTCACAGGCATGTCAATGGCCTCTCTCACTCACAGGCATGTCAATGGTCTCTCTCACTCACGGGCATGTCAATGGTCTCTCTCACTCACAGGCATGTCAATGGTCTCTCTCACTCACAGGCATGTCAATGGTCTCTCTCACTCACAGGCATGTCAATGGTCTCTCTCACTCACAGGCATGTCAATGGTCTCTCTCACTCACAGGCATGTCAATGGTCTCTCTCAATCACAGGCATGTCAATGGTCTCTCTCACTCACAGGCATGTCAATGGTCTCTCCGGGTTGAAGCCTCTGCTCCTCAAAGCAAAAGCACTGGATCTTGTTGAAATAGATGCCCGCCTGTGGGAGTGGGGTTGGGGGAGTGGGGTGGGAGGAGCAGAAGCAAAAGAACTGGATCTTGTTGAAATAGATGCCCGCCTGGTGCCGTGACAGGGTAGGGTTGTGCAGTAAGTAGGGGAGAAGAACTGGAACTTGTTGGATGGAGGCACAACCAGATTCGACTGGTGCAGTGGCAGGCAGGTGGGGGAAAGGAGAAGTGCGGGAGAGGGTCGAAGAGGAGCCGAGGCACTAGAGATTGTTGAAACTATAAGGGCAATATGGGCGGCAGCACACCTTCCAGATATGGGCGGCACACCTTCCAGATATGGGCGGCACACCTTCCAGATATGGGCGGCACACCTTCCAGATATGGGCGGCACACCTCACTTCAAAATAGTAACGATGTAACATGGACGGCACAATATGGACGGCACAATATGGACGGCACAACATGGACGGCACAACATGGACGGCACAACATGGACGGCACAACATGGACGGCACAACATGGACGGCACAACATGGACGGCACAGCATGGACGGCACAACATGGACGGCACAACATGGACGGCACAACATGGACGGCACAACATGGACGGCACAACATGGACGGCACAACATGGACGGCACAACATGGACGGCACAACATGGACGGCACAACATGGACGGCACAACATGGACGGCACAACATGGACGGCACAACATGGACGGCACAACATGGACGGCACAACATGGATGGCACAACCCTGGCGCACCTTCATGGGAGACGTTGCAGGTGCTGACGCCCGTGATGGGCTTGTCACTCTTGTTGTCCTTTCAGTCAACTTAACCATCAACTCGGCACACCTTCATAGCGGGGTCAGCACACCATACCTTCATGGGAGAGACGTTGTAGGTGCTGACGCCCGTGATTGGCTTGTCACTCTTGTTGTCCTTTCAGTCAACTTAACCATCAACTCGGCACACCTTCATGCGGGGTCAGCACACCATACCTTCATGGGAGAGACGTTGTAGGTGCTGACGCCCGTGATTGGCTTGTCACTCTTATTGTCCTTTCAGTCAACTTAACCATCAACTCGGCACACCTTCATGCGGGGTCAGCACACCATACCTTCATGGGAGAGACGTTGTAGGTGCTGACGCCCGTGATTGGCTTGTCACTCTTGTTGTGCGCGGTGTAAAACGCAAGGGTGCTCTGGCCAGGCCTCACCCGAACCTGTGAGAGTGGCTCGGGACGAATGGCACGCGGAGCGGAGAATTGGCAAAGTGAATTGTGGAAGCATCAGAGGGCATGCAGGTATATGGTACATTGATGAAGCAGCAGGGAAGAGCAGGGTTTCATACTGAGGTATGCCATGTGAAACCCCACCCCTACAACCCCATGCCATGCCATGTTATGGAAAGCCATCCAATCCCATCCCATCCAATCCCATCCCATCCAATCCCATCCCATCCAATTCCATCCCATCCAATCCCATCCCATCCCATCCCATCCCATCTCATCCCATCCCATCCCATGCCATGCCATGCCATGCCATGCCATGCTATAAAATATCATCCCATCATATGCCACGCCATGCACAGTCCCAGCCACATGGGCATCTCATTTGAGATGTGCCATGATAGAATGGTGCCATATCAGCATGCCACGTGGCACGCCCACCTCTCTCTGCGTGGGGATGAAACGCCACGGTAGCCCCTCTGCCACGTCAGCATTGAAATGAATCACCAGCTCCCTGCAGTTCCCACATGGCGAGGGAAACACACAACAAAGGAGACAGCAGTCACGCAGAACGAGTGAAAAGATTAAGGGGTTCCTAAAAAAGGAGGGAGTGGGATGAGGCGACAGCGTGTTGCTACGCCTGCTTACGATTGATACACGTAGGTGCCATGAGCAGTATGAGTTACTGGGAGGTGAGAAAAGGTGAGGAGAGGCGAGTAAAGGTGAGGAGAGGTGAGCAAAGGTGAGGAGAGGTGAAGCGAGTGGGGCCCTCATAGCAGCAACGTACCTGGCAGCCGCTGCTGACTTGTCTGCACTCTGCCGTGCCACCTTCTCCTCGACCGTCTGGGAGACTCAGTTAAAAAGGAAGGAAGGGAGCAGAAAAAGAGCAGGGGCGAGAGTAAGACAGAGCAGCACTGCACGTCTCTGAACACACGGACAGTCTTGTCTGCACTCTGCCGCGCCACCTTCTCCTCGACCGTCTGGGAGACTGAGCCACAGCCAGCCAACAACGAGACAAATGAGAAGAGCGAGAGAACTGAAAGAGTCAATGCAGCATGGTGCAAGGCGATGAGACGGAACAGTCAAAACGGAAGAAGCATGAGCACATGTCCGAGAAATTACCCCTCCCTTACCCAACCAATACCTTCAAACAGATGCATCTTACTCGCCTCTGCCTGCCCCATTTCCCCATCCATCCCCTCATCCCCCCCCTAATTCCCCTTCCCCCAATCTCCATTTCCCCTCATCCCCTCACTCATCCCCTCATTACCGCCCCATACCCCCACCCCCCCCCCCACACCGCACCTCTTTTCTCTGGGTGGTCCCACCAAACCCAGTGGCCTGGCAGAAGAGCCGATACAGGGGCACGGAGGCATACGCAGCGCCCAGCATGGCCAGCGCGGCAGCGACTAAGTACATCAGTTGGGACTTATTTGCCTCTGCCTGCCTCCCTGTTGGTCCGCTCGCTCCGAACCTCCGCCGAGCCTGCTGGCTCTGCTGGTTCGGGGAATGCTGGTGGGAGGTTCGGGGCTGGGCTGCCTGGGGTTGGTGCTGCTGCTCCTGCTGCTGGTTCTCGCTGGTTGGTTCGGCTGGTTTGGTTTCTTGGGAGAACACGGAGATGCCTATAACGGGGATGAATCCGCGGATTCAAAGGGAAGGAAGATGGAGGGAAGGGGTTTCAAGAGAGGAGAGGGAGGACGAGAAAAAGCGGAGAGGTGGGGAGTGTGGAGGGGGGGGGAAGTGAGGGGAAGTGAGGGGAAGTGAGGGGAAGTGAGGGGAAGTGAGGGTGGTTCTTTTCTTAGTGAGAAATAGAGGAAGCAAGCGACAAAGGTGGATGCAACAAATGGGTGGTCATCTGAGCAGCAGGAGTGCAAGCAGCAGGGAGACGCGGCGAGGGAATCACCATGATGAAACGACGCAGACGCTGCTGACGTGGCACTGCAGCAGCCCTCCAGCGCCGCAGCAGCCACCCCTTCACGCGTGCTCTGCGGATGCCACGTCACGCGCCACCAGGCTGGCGAATGCAGCTGCTGTGCTGGTGTGACTATAGCGTCTAGAAGTGCGTTACATGCTTGCGCAGATGTGACTGAAGCGGGAGGGAAGAACGCGTGCGGGTGCGGGGAAGGCCACGGGGCACTATAACGAAGGAAGAGGGGGCTTCGGTGGTGAAACTGCGGCGAGATCGCGGCTCGATCTACTAAAGGGAAGAAGAAGCTTGGTGTAGGTAAACTACTGGTGGCTTGAGGGATGTGCTTGTAACGCGGGGTGACGAGAGTGCTCGACTCGCGGATGCAGGAGCGGAACGCGCATAGCGCGTTACGCAGCACGTGGCGCGATGACGCCATCGGCCATGCAGCGCGTGCGCGCAGGTCAACTGGAGTCAGCGGGAGTCAACGCATATGGAGCGAACCTAACGAGTTGCGTGATGGCGAAGGCACCCGGGAGCGGCGGGGTGGTGGCGGCTGCTGCGGCGAAGCGGTCTTATGGACGGTGGAGATGGAACAAGGATAACCGCGAAGGTGACGCGAGGCGGAGCGGCACGGATTCGAGGGAGGGTGAATGCTCCACAATATCTACCGCCTCGAGGATTCGATCTCGGGCGGCTGGAGATGAAGAGGAGGATCCCGAGACAAGAAGAGGATGAAATTGAAAGCTCCACTCAGGTGTGCAATGTGGTTTGAAGCGGTAAGAATCTAAACCGTTTTAAAAATTGGTTGACCGCGTCAAACCGCGTCAGAAGCATGTACTCGCCATAACTTCGCATAAATATCGGGCTCGATTCGTTATAACATGCAACAGTTTGCAGATCAGTGTTCAACACTAAAAACATCGGGGATGTTATTTTCTGCATGCATTTCGTAACCTCCATGCTTCCTTTCCACCATTGTCACGGGTTTCGGGTTGAGAGCTTCGCTAGAAAGCTTATCCAAGCTCGGTGTGAGGAGCATGGCTGAATCAAGAAATAGGAATGAGGCTGTTCACCCCGCAAATTCTGCTCGTCGCTTAGTTACTATTTAGTCCTGCAGCCGTGAAGCACGGCAAGACTTGGTACCTATGTTTGACCAAACACGAGGCACCCCTTCCTGGTTTCGTAGAGGTGTTGCGCGACGAGCAGAGCATAAGCGCCAAGCTTAAAAAATTTTCTGCACTGGAGGAGTAGTGGCTGCATAAGTCAGCACCACGAACCCTCAGCATCATTTATTAGTGTACGCTTAGGTAATTGAGTACATATAGGTCTGTAACTTACCTAAATCATGCAGTACTAATAACTTCACTTACGATATGCCTACTTCCGAATCGCTCTCCTATTTGCAAAGCATCTCCTACTCTCAAATCATCCATTATTCAAATCGTTCTCCAAATTTCAAATCATTCGCCTATTCTCAAATCAGTCGCCTATCCAAATCATTCTCCTAACCTAATATTATTCTCGTACTCCCCAAACCATTCTCCTGCATCCGATTCAGCTTCCTGCTATGCTGACTGTCACGTCCTATCCGGGAGCACCTGTTTAGGCTATTAACCCAGATAAAATTTGGGTTTTGAGACGTCTCACATCTCAACTTTTATCCTCAAGCTATCAACCCAGATTTGAGGTGAGGTGCAAGCTGCCACGTGTCAGAGTCTGAGCTCCAAGTCAACACACTGCTTTTTCTGCCCTGGCTGCTGCTGCTGCTGCTCCTGCTGCTGCTGCTGCTGCTGCTGCTGCTGCTGCTGCTGCTGCTGCTGCTGCTGCTGCTGCGCCTGCTGCTGCTGTAGTTGCTTCACCTCCTGCTGTTGTCCTGATTGCTGCACTTTCTGCTGTTGTGGCGGCTGCTGCTGCTGCTGCTGCTCCTGCTGTTGCACCTGCTGCGGCTGCGGATGCCGCTGCAGCTGCTGCTGCTGTCGGTCCACAAGCGCTCTCCCATCCTCCCCACCGCATCCCACCCTACCTTGAAACAAATGCCTTCTCGCACCGCTTCCCACCGTACTCCCAGCCTTTATCCCCTGCTCCCCCTCAGCGCTCCACTCTATCCCCCTCTCACTCCCCGTCTCGCCCCCTATCTCACCCCCTCGCTCAGTAGGAGCACCAATGGCACCAATGGCTGCTTCGCCCTCACCTGCCCTCCTTCCCCGAAGAGCAAGAGCGCTGGGCCTTTGAGACTCGTCCCTGGTTCCCCTCTCCCCGCCACCACTGCTCCACTCCACCCGTATCCTCTTCAAGAGCTGACTCACGTCAGGAGTAATGTCCCCTCTGGAACCACATGTGCCAGCACCACTAGCAGCGTCACCACCAGCACCACTAGCAGAAGTGGCTGCTGCAGCAGCAGCAGCAGCGGTGGCAGCAAAAACTCCTGAGGAAATCCCCTGTTGTGACCCTGAAGAGTGTGAATCCACCAACATGGATTGTCTCGTCTCACCCTTCAGCCTCCCCTCGCCCTCATTCTCATGCTTCCCCTGTCGTGCGTGCTCTGCAGGGCTCTGCTTTGGAACTAACCCCCGGCCTGGGCTTTCAGTGGGAGAGGGGTGGTAACCAGACGTGTGACTGTAAGGAGCGGAGGGGTTGTAGGGAGAGGGGTGGGCAGTGGAGTGGGTGGCGGCATGTGCTTGCAGCCAGAGGGAGGAGAAGGAGGGCAGTTGCGGGGCAGAGGGGGCGGAGTGGGCGGAAGGGGCGGAGGGGGCGGAGGGAGCAGAAGCAAAGCCAAAGGCGGAGGGATGATGAGTGGAGGAGGGCGGTTGCGGAGCAAGGGTGGGGTTGGGGGGTGCGGAGGAATGGTGGGAGAGGGAGGAGAATGAGGGCAGGTGAGGGACGGAGGCTGGGCGGAGGGAGGGGGAGTGGTGGGAGAAGGAGGAGGAGGAGGGCAGGTGGGCAGCAGAGGCCGAACGGACGGCTGAGATGGGTCCACTGGGAAAGTGTGGGCGATGGGATGGGTGCGGCTGATTATCGGAGCTATCGTGGATTTTTCCGCAGGGATTGTGGTGAGAATTGTTATGCGGATCGTTGTGGGAGTTGTCATGGGGCTTATGGGAAGGAGAGAGAAACAGGGGGGTTGGCAGTGCGGGGGCTTGTGGTGGTGAGGTGAGAGGGGAGGGGCGGAGAGACAGGGAGAGGAGGGACGGTGCTGTTGGCTCACCTCCTCCCCCTCTCTCGGCGTCATCTCGTGGCTCAGATTTTCCGGGCGGCAGCACTGCCGCAGGGGCGGCGGCGGGGAGAAGCCGAGGGGAGGGGTTGGAGCAGGAGGAGGGGCTGAGGACGTCAGAGGGGGGGAGAGAAGAGGTGGAACTCGATTGACCGCTTGTTGGCCTTGGCTGTGGTACAAGGGGTGCGAGGGTTGCAAGGGGTGCGAGGGATGCCAGGTGCGGAGGTGGGTTGTGAATCACCTGGGTCTGAACCGACAGGTTTTGAGTCAAATGGATTTCGGTCGAATGGATCTGATTCAGGTGGGTTGGAGTCGGTTGTGCTGCCACCGGCACAGGCCGATTGGAGACTTGGCTTGATGCCTCGAAACTTGGTGGTCGAGACAATGGTGGTGGCAGTGGTGGTGGCATCACAGGCCCGCTGGATAGTTGGGCTGACAAAGGGAGTGAGCTGGCGGCTGTTGATTGGTTGGTTAGCTGCTGCTGCTGCTGCTGCGGTTGTTGGGAAAGGGGAGATAAGAAGGCTGGGTGCTGATGTGGCGGCATGAGTGCTGCTGACTGTGTTACGGGGAATGCTGATGTGGAAATGAGTCCGGTTGACGGCAAAAAAGGGTTCGGGTTGTTCAGATGATTTATCACCTGAGCCGTGGATTGAAACGCAGGTGCTTGAAACGAGGACAGCTGGAAGTGCGGTGGTGGTGGCTGCATGAACGGATGTTGCAGTGCCGGCTGTAGCTGTGACTGCTGTAGCTGCGACTGCTGTAGCTGTGATTGCTGTAGCTGTAGCTGTGCTGCTTGCAGCAAGGTTAGGGAGCCAAAGGGAGCCGCAGACGAGTCAAACTTCCCCCCAGATGCAAAAACCGGTCCGCCAGATGTCCCCAACGCTCCCCCAGGTGCTCCCAACGCCCCCCCAGATGCAAAAGAAGGTCCTCCTGATGCCGCTGCATGCGGGAAAACAGGGCTGCTTACGATTGATGGCAAGCCCCTCAGAGACGCATCCGCCACAGGGTTTCCAGAGCGGTGAAGAGAGGTAACGAGAGGTGAGAAAAAAGGCCCAGCAGAGGTTGCTGCTGCTGCAGCACCACCACCACCACCCCCACCTGATCCTGACATTGTTGCAGCAGCAGCGGCTGCCGCAGCTGCTGCTGCAGCCGCTGCAGCGAAGAGTGTAGAAGTCCCTTGGGAAGGGTTGAGAGCGAGTGAGGCAGAGAGCATGTGCACACGCGAGGTTGCATGTGAGCCGTCAGATGCAGCCCTCTTGATGGTATGAGCAGTGCTGAGCACCGTTCCTGCATCGCCTGGCCTGCCCTGCAATCCTGCTGCTTCCTCTGTCACCCCTCGTCCTCCTCCTACTCCTACTCCTCCCACTCCTGTTGCTGCCCCTGCCATGCCCGCTGCTGCTGATGATCCGCTTACTGCTGCTCCTTGTGGGCCTATGATCGAAGAAGGAACGCTGGCAGACAGCGAGCGAGGGAGGGAGGACGGGAGTGGGGGAGGTGGGTCGGCGAGCGAAGGAGGGGCGTGGGCGGAGAGTGAGCGAGGGAATGAGACAGAGAAAGCGGGAGGGAGAGGGGAAGAGAGCGAGGGAGGGAATGGGGAGGGAGGGAAGGAGGCGGAAAGTGATGGATGGAGTGAGGTTGGAACGCGTATGACTCGGGGGAAAGCTTCTGAGGCACTGGCACCAGGCTTGGCGTGGTTGTGCGTTCCGTGATACACCACGCTTATGCTGCTGCTGCTGCTGCTGCTGTTGGTGCCGGCGCCACCAGCAGCGTCAGCAGCAGCACCGGCAGCACCAGCAGAAGCAGATGCAGCGGATTGCTTTTTTGGAGTACCAGTGCTGCTGCTTCGGGTGACAGTGGCAGCACCAGCTGTAGCGCCGATTGTAGCGTCCGCTGTAGCGCCGATTGTAGCGCCGGTTGTAGCGCCGGCTGTAGCGCCAGCTGTAGCGCCAGCTGTAGCTGTGCAGGGATCCGCCATGCCTGCACCTGGAGCAGCCGTGGCTGTAGCGCCACCCGATGTTGCTCCAGGGCTTGTGGCAGGGGAGGTTGGATCAGAAGCAGCCGCGTTCAGATCTGCAGCGGCTGTAGCAGCAGTTGTAGCAGGGTCAAGGACGAGTGGTGAGTCGATGGTCTTCTTGGCCTGACAGCCCATGCTGTGGCGCGCACACCGGAAATACGCCCTGGGTGGTAGGGGAAAGGACAGGAGGGGAGGAGGGGAGGTGAGAGGG